GCAGAATCAAATTCATCACCAGAAGCATCAGAGGGTCTTTTTCTTGAGCAGATAAGTGCGAAGAACATACAAGCAAGATGGCAGAAGTCACTAGAAGAAAGTAAAGATGCAAATTGGTCAACAATTCTGTATTCAGCAAGATCTGGAACTGGAACCCATTCTGTGAATGAGTTGATGGCATTCAAACAAGCAACAACTGCATCTGAATGCTGTTTCGACAACTCCCTGCTGCATCCCTTGCAGCCCCAAAGTGTTTTTTCAAGAAGATCATGCAACCAAACCAAAATATCAGGAAGCCCCTGGAACAGAAGCGTATGCTTCTTGTCTTCCAACTCCTTAGTACGATCTCTATGATATTCAGAAAGCCGTTTCACTACCTTCAAAGTCAATTCTGTCTGTAAAGGGCCTCGGGAGGACAAAGAAACTAGTAATAAAAAACAACTCTTTCCACATCTTCGGATCTTCCTTTTCAAAAATCGCAGCTACAAGCGACTGTTTCACCTTTCATTGCACATTCTTCGCATGGATTAGCTACCTCAGACATCAGTTCAAAGGAAGCACCACAGATATCCATGTGCTTGGAGGGGCTCAATTCATCCCACCGAAATCTAACCAAATACTGCAAGGATGATAAAACAGTGCTCGCAATTTAGGTGAGTTTCAAAATCTTGCCATCAGAAATAACGCTGGAGCTTAATCTCTGCTCAGTTTCTTAAGCTAAGTTTTTTTGTTCATTAGCAACAGACAGTTAAATAACAACACAGAAAGTAAATCGTCTTAGCAAGAACCTGTAGCATCTTAGAGGCATACAAGCGAACTTGTAAAGGCCAGTCCTTTTCCACAAGATGAAACGAAACTTGAGACAAACTCCTAACATCACCTTCCTTAATCTGCAAATATAAATTACAACAGCTTAATCAAAAGAAAATTGCAAAGCTGTTCTTGGGATAGGATTTTCACATATATAAATCAAAAATTACCGATCCAAGATATGTAACAGCGGCTTTGCAAGCATCAACAACAGTGGAGTCAGAATCAGAAATCACCACAATCTGTCGAGCCACATTCTCGATGTTCCAAGTTGTGGTCATGATCAGCTTCAATCATATCTTTTCCGTTCAACACTTTCACACGATCCTCGTTCATAGCGTCTTACTGAATCGCAACGTTAAGTCCTATATCAGACTTTCACACGTTCCGATTCATCCAAAACCCTATAGCCCTAAGGAAACGATCCTCTAGGGGTGGGCAAAAAAACCGAACCGAACCGAACCAAACCGAACTGAACCGATCTATTTTCAATATAGAATCAGTTTGGTTGATGTTTTTCTCAACCCGAATGGTTCGGTTCGGTTTGGTTTAAAACCGAACCGAACCAAAAACCAATACATTTATTTAATTTAATTTATTAGTTAATTTATAATATTAGTATATATGAAATATTGTGAATTTGTGACACGATTTCACCCAAACTGAACCGATTTTATTAATTCTAATTTTTTATATATATATTTTCTAACCTACTAGCTAAAAATTCTATATAAAATCAAAATCCTAAAAAACTTACAAACTCATATACCTAAGCAGCTAAAACTCTTATCTTCTTCTCATTCATTGTCGTTGATTCTCCATAGTCTAAAGGTAAGATTTTTTAACATAATATTGAAATATTCTAATAAGTCTTTTAGATAAAAAAAAAAACAGAAGTTTGATGCTAATGAACAATTATTGAAGGTTTTGATTTTTAGTTTTTGAAAGTCGACGTATCGTAAAGTGATTGTCTTTGATATGTGGATTGAATTATTAATAATATGTTTCTTTCCTATGTAGATGAATAATAAAACCAGGACCAGCAACAAAAGAAAAGAGTATGATTCTCAAACACAACCGCCAAAGCCGAAAAGAACACTACCACCACGATCACCGGCATGGGAAGTTTTTACGAGACTTAAGGATGATGAATTGAAGTGTTCATGCAATTTCTGTGGTAAAGTCTATTCATGTAATCCTGCTACATGTGGAACTTCCAATTTAAATACACACATGAAAAAGTGCAAAGCTTACTTGGATCATAAGGAATCTGAGTCTCAGAATGTCTTAGTGTCTAGTGGTGGAAGTGGTGATCATGGTGGTAAAGTTGTTGGTATGACAAAACCTTTTGATCAAATTGCTTGTAAGCAAGCAACGGTGAAAATGATTATCATGGACGAACTGCCGTTTTCTTTTGTGGATAATGATGGGTTTAAACAGTTTTGTGAGATTGCTATTCCTTGGTTTATTATTCCGTCGCGAAGAACAGTTACAAGAGAAGTTGCTGGTCTGTATAACGCTGAAAAAACAACATTGAAGACTATGTTAAGTTTAAATAGGCAAGCGATCTCTTTTACCACCGACATATGGACTTCTATAACTACTTTGAGTTATATGGCTGTAACTGCCCATTTTATTGCTAAGGATTGGTGATTGCATAGAAGGATTATTAGTTTTAGTCCTATTCCTGATCATAAAGGAGAGACCATTGCCAATCAATTTTTAAAATCTTTGGATGATTGGGGTATTGAGAAAGTATTTGCTATTACAGTTGATAATGCAAGCAGCAATGATAAAGCTATCAACGTTTTGAAAGATCGGTTGCGTAATAGGAACAATGAAGCTTTGATGATGGATGGTGAATTTATGCACATACGATGCTGCGCACACATACTGAATTTGATTGCCAAAGAAGGTTTGGATGATATCATTAACAGCATAATAAGTGTTCGTAATGCTGTTAAATATGTGAGGTCTTCTGGTTCAAGACTAGACTCCTTTAAGCGCTGGGTGGAGGTTGAGAAGATAACAAGAGGAAGTGTGGTTTTGGCTTGTGTTACAAGGTGGAATTCTACATACTTGATGTTGAAAAGTGCACTAAAATATCAAGTTGCATTTGATCGGATGGCTGAAATGGATAAGCCGTATGATGCATGGTTTAAGAACTTGATTCTAGTGGAAGAAGAGGAAATGACCTCCAACATCAATTGATTGGGACAAAGCACGTCATATGGTAACATTCTTGAAGTCCTTCTATGATTCGACTTTAGCATTCTCTTCTTCTATTAAAGTAACATCAAATGGTTGTTACAATGAGATATGCAAAATTCAATCAACTGTGGCAACTATGTCTTATAGTGAAGACGCTGATTTGAGAGATATGGCTTCTGCAATGTCGGCTAAATTTGATAAATACTGGGAAGGTACAAAGAATATCAATAAGATATTGATAGTGGCTGGTGTACTTGATCCTCGTCGCAAAATGGTTTTTATAGAGTATAGCTTTGAACTCATTTATGGGAAAGGTAATCCAAAGTGCAAAGAAATGTCTAAGTTGGTGATGGATGATTTGCAGAGAATATTTGAGCTATATAGTGCTCGGTACACCACTTTAAAGCTACAATCGTCTGCTGCTCGTGACAGTGAGAATGTAACACAGTCCAACCAAGATCATAAGGATATGGAAGAAGACAGAATTGATGATCCCTTTTTAAGATTCATGGTTGCTAAGAGAACTACTTCAGAAGTTGTAAATGAATTGGAGAAGTATTTAAAAGACGAGCTGTACGTAGCGACTGAAAACGGTATGGGACTTCCGTTTGATCTTCTAGATTGGTGGAAGACAAATAGTTCAAAATATCCAATTATGTCTCTAATGGCCAAAGAAATTCTTGCTATACCAGTATCTTCTGTTGCATCTGAAAGTGCTTTTAGCACTGGGAATCGTATTCTAGACCAATATCGAAGTTGTTTGACTCCTGCTATGGTCGAAGTGTTGGTTTTGACCCAAGACTGGTTACGCGCTTCACGTCGTTCAGAAGCAATGAAGACTCTCGACAATCTAGAGGAAGAGAATACATATATGGATTCACTTGAAGAAGGTATTTTATTCTCTTTTTTTTTTCTTCTTCTAAGAATTATATTCATGATTCAGTAATGTCTCACAAGACTTTATTTGAATTATATTCATACGTCTACTTAAAATTAAAAGCTCAAAGCTCAGTTTTTCTACGGTAAATGATCTTTTAATACTAATGCTGTGATGGTTCATATAAAGAATTAAAGATGAATAAACATTGACTTAGCTTGTAATTTTGTATAGTGAACTAATATTTAAATTATTGACTTGTTGCAGATTCTTCGAAGTGGCGATATCAGAAAGACGAGACGGAGACTTTTATTGATTTGTTGCAGTTTTTTAATAGCATTAGTACCTTATTGCAGAGAGACAAACTCGTTATTGGATTCTTTCAATTTTTATTTATTTTAGTTTAATTAGATGGTTTGGTTTGAGTTAATGGTTTGTTTTAGCTGGAACATATAGTATTAGATGGTTTGGTTTGACTTAATAGTTTGTTTTAGTTGGAACATATACTAATGGTTTGAATTTACGTTTTTATTCTAGTTTTTTCCAAATTGATGTTTTTAACCGAATTGAAACCAAATCAAACTGAACCGAAACCGAACTAACCCGAACCAAACACAAACTGAACCAAATTTATTTCGGTTGAGTTTGGTTAGAATTTTATTGAATCCGAATTAACCAAACCGAACCAAACTCAAACCGAACCCGAAAAAAAACTGAAATGCCCACCCCTACGATCCTCTACTGTATTTCGCGAACAATCAAACAAAACAAGACAGAAATTAGGGTTGAACAAAGTGTAAATCAGCGAGAAAAGCTCACAAATTTCTGGGTATGATTGTACACAGTGTGAAGAGGCAAAAATGTCACTGTGTCGAAGTCAAAGTAAGTCAAAGATGTCTTTTTTTTGTTTTTTTTTTTTTTTGTAGAAACCCAGAAATATAAAAAGAGAGGGAATATCTCAAATCAAAAGTAGAGAGACATAAAAAAAAAAGAGCCCTAAACTCTGTTTCTTCTTCTTCTTCTTTCCCCAAACAATTTGGGACGAGGCGGCTGAAAACTCGCTGAGCCGCCGTACTAAACTGTTCTACGACAGTCTCATACTATGGAGCTTAAACTAGCCACCGCCGAGAAAGAAGTTCGTCTCTTTTTCATTCTCATCTGTTGCTCTAACTCCTCGTACTATGGAGCTTAAAGGGATGATTCGCTGTTTTTCTGGGTTCGTTTCCCTATTTTGGGGTCGAATTAACTCTCTATGTATCTAAGCATTCCGTTAAATTTTTCCGATTAGGTGCTTGAAGAGTTGGTGAAGCTAGTGCAGAGTCAAGGTTTGCGAGGCGAAAATGGAGGATGGAAGGAGTTTTTAGATGTTTATGACGAAAAGATTGGATCTTTTAATGACCCTTCGAGGCGTTCCCGTGAAGACTTGGTTGCATTTCTGTCAACTTTCAAGAAGAAAGAAGTTTTGCAGGTAAAGGAAAAAAAAACACACAAAATGTGATCTTGTTATTTACAAAGTTTTGATTTTTTTTTAAAAAATCTATGCTTGTTTTGCTTAGTTCCTGCAATATCACGCGAATCAACTTCTGATTGAAAAGCTGAAGGAGGAATCTCCGGATAATGACACTCCTGAGCAGGTGGGGGCAAGATTTTGTTGCTACAAATCAATCAAAAGCCATGTTTTTTTTTGGTTTAAAGTTTGTATTCAAGTTTGAAAATTGAGCTATAAAACGTTTGTTGGCAGTACAGAGTCTAGTGCGATTGACTGTTGAGCATCCAGCTTACTCTGTAGACTATACACTGCACCCTTACTCCAAGGTTTGCTTCCTCTCCTGAACATTGGGATCTTGCTGCTTCCTGTATTTGAAAGTTGTGTGAGTGTGTTCTAAACTGTTTTTAAGACTTTTGAAATTGGTATAAGCAGGGCTGGTTAGTATCAGATGTTGGAATGAAGATGTCGAAGGTGATGAAATCAACAAAAATGATATCTGTTGATTGTGAGATGGTTCTTTGTGAAGATGGTACTGAAGGTTTGGTTAGAGTTGGCATTGTAGACCGTGATTTAAAGGTATAGCCTTAGAGTTTGAGATTCTCGAATCTATATTATGTTGATCGACCTCTTTTTCTTGACTCTTATGATCAAAAATGTTCATGTCTTAGGTGATTCTTGACGAATTTGTGAAACCGGAGAAACCTGTTGTTGATTATAGGACAGACATTACAGGGATTACTGCTGATGATATGGAAAAAGCTACTCTCTCCGTAGCAGATATACAGGTACCAGGTCGAGTCTATCTTTGTATTGGTTTATTTTCCCAACAATAAAGTATAGGGGACCTAGTGGTTATGTTAATTTTGTGAAATGTGTAGGAAACTTTGCAGCCATATCTTTCCGAGGGTACTATCTTGGTAGGCCACAGTTTGAACAAAGATTTGGAAGGTAAGTAAGAAAGTTCTCAAGTAGAGTCTGTGTTGATTTTGGTTGTTTTTATTGGTTTTTAGTTACAAATTTATTGGTATTTTGATCCCAGTGTTGAAGATAGATCATCCCAAAGTAATTGATACCGCTCTTGTATTCAAGTATGCCAATGCACGAAAGCCCAGAAGAGTTTCACTTAACAACCTTTGCAAGGTAAGTCCACAATGGGTTTCTCTACTCTTGAGTGAATCATCACAAAAAGATAACATTTTTTATACCTTTTTTGTTTCTGAAATGAATTTTTTCCAGTCTATTTTGGGTTACGAAGTCCGAAAGGCCGGCGTTTCTCATGATTGTGTAAACGACGCAGCAGCTGCGATGAAACTTGCACTTGCTGTTATAGAAAAAAGAGCTAACACAACAATCCCACCATCTAAAGAGGTTTGAAGACAAAAAATATGGATTTACCAAACTTAAAGATTGTTACCATAAATTCCAACAGTTATTACAATGTCTGTAACTTTTCAATAGATGTTGGAGGTTGAGAAAGCAAAACTCTTTCTACATAAAATCCCTCACAATGTGCCATCTGAAGAGCTTGAACAAGTTATCTCTGGAGAGTTTCTTACAGGAGAGTTTACACTTGATGTTAAGGTTGAGATATCAAACCCTATATTTTTTGTTACCTTTTCTCTCTGAATCTTTCTCTGACCTTGCTCTTTCTCTTTTGGCAGGCAGCAAAAACACAGAGAGGTTGCTATTGTGCGTTTGTTGTTTTCAATAGCTCAAAAGAAGCAGATCAAGCATTTGAAAACGTTGGTGTAGACCAAGGGCAGGTATTTTATAATCTCAGCTTCTTGTAAAAGGATCCAAAACTCTCACTGATTGGAGACTAATCTTTGTGTTATATGTAATTTTTTGGCAGGATTCGTTGGGTTTGCCACAAAAACTGATTTTCTTTAAGCTGAGCTCTGGTTCAAGAGTTAGTATATATGTCCGTAAAATGTTTCATGATGATTCCGCGTAGATCTCTGTGACTACAAAGAGAATCTTCCCTGTTAAAATCATGCAAGACATGAGGAGGCTAATTATTTGTTATTTTAATGAAGATTTTCTGTATAATTTAATAATTGAAATGATGGCAAAACTAGTAATGTTAATGTTAAGAACAAAACATGACTTTTCAAAAGAAACCAAAGCTTAAACTAAAGGAGAATGGAAGACAAAATTGCTATTGGGAAACAATAATTAATCAATATTTTAGTAATTTCTTATTTTATTTTATAAGTTGCAACTTCATTAGAAAATTAGTGTCTTTATATTGTTACTTGGATGCTGTCTAGAAACAGAGTCGATACAGAAACTGATTTAATTTCATAGTCTTCGTCCTCATCTCCAGAGGAGAACACCGTAACTTTAAATGAGTCGTTATTATTATGAAGTTGGAACGTTTAATTTGATTATTAATACTAACTGGAAAGTGTTAGTGGTACGGTCTGTTACTCGGTTTGGACCGGTTTAAGACCAAAATCGGCTTAATTAATTCCGATTTACGACAGTTTCGACTGAATTGGGTTTACCCTGATAGCACAGCCCACTAACAGACAGGTCCAATAACAAAAGGCGGTGGAGATTAGAGGAGAAAACCCTAAACTTTCTCCTCATTAATGTACTATATAGAACTTGTTTACTGTAGAGGACATCTTTTGGATCCCGGAGAGATTGAAAGCTCGATATTATTGTACTCAGTTCGTTGAAAGACCTCCGAACTAAAAGATTTGTACTCTGAACTTGATTAATTAAAACAAAAGATTCTTCCAAACTCAAATTACTGAATTGACCCAAGTAGTTGAGATCCACGATCAACAGAAATCAACAGAAAGTAAAAGAAGTTTCATTCTCCAAAAAACGGTGAAGTTGGAAAGTCTTGTTTAAACTCTCAAAATAACATCATTTACGAAGCATTTAGGTAAATTTTCGAGATTATCTAGCTGTTGGAAGTTGAAACGTTTAATTTAAAAATTATGTTTAAGAAATAAACGTTTAATTTTTTTTTTATGGTGCTTTTATAAACCCCAACTCTGTTTCTTCTTTCTTAAAATTACTCCGGGCACTGAAGAACTCGTCCTCCACTCATTCTACGGCACTTATGGATCAATACATAGCCATGGCTGAGACTAAAGTTCGTACCTTTTTTTTTTTGTTTTTTGTTTTGAATAATTCGAGTTCGTTTCTGTTTTGAGGTCTCGAGTTACATTCTCTGCATATATCCTACGTTTTTCTCGATATAGGTGTTGGAAGAGTTGGTGAAGCTAGCGCATCGTCGAGGTCTACGAGGAGAAAATGGAGATTGGAATGATTTTGTTGTATCTTACAAAGAAAGATTTATATCACCAAATGCACCTTTGAGAAGTCCCCGTGACGTGATGGTCACTTTTCTCTCAGCCTTTAAGAAGAAGGAAGATTTGCAGGTTTCTTTGGTTTCCTACCTTTAATTTAATTACCACCAATCGTTGCTTAATACTAGAGTTTTAGTTTTAACCATTTTTTCTTTTCTTTTTTAGATTCTGCTTTCTCACGCCAATCGTCATCTGGTTGTAAAGTTGAAGCAGGAGACTCCGGACACTCCTGAGCAGGTCAGTGAAATATTTGTTGGAAATCAAATTATATATAAAATATAAACATGTTTTGTGGATGTTTAATTTATATATAAGTTTGCTAGTGAGGATTAAACTTTTTTTGTTTGGCGGTACAGAAGCTAGTTCGACTGACCATGGAGCATCCGGAATACTCAGTAGACTATTCATTCATCTTGAATAAGGTTTGTTTTTTCTCTCCTGGATCATTTAATGTAATCGGAATTTTTATGTTTTAAAAGACTTTTTGAATTTGCTATAAGCAGGACTGGTTTGTATCCGATGTTGGAATGAAGATGTCAAATGTGATGAAATCAACCGAAATGATAGCTGTTGATTGTGAGATGGTTCTTTGTGAAGATGGTACTGAAGGTTTGGTTAGAGTTGGTGCTGTAGACCGTGATTTTAAGGTATAAAGATTCTTGAATCTTTTATTATGTTAATCGACTTGTGTTTCTTGACTTGATCAAAATCGTTTGTGTCTTAGGTGATTCTTGACAAATTTGTGAAACCAGACAAACCTATTGTTGACTATAGGACAACTATTACAGGAGTTACTGCAGATGATATAGAAAATGCTACCTTCTCTTTGGTAGATATTCAGGTATACCTTGCAGTGTATTTCTATTATTACTATTTTTTCTTCTCTTTCCATTACAATACTTTACATAGTGAGTATGTTTTTTTTTTTTGTTAAAGGACATAGTAATTATGTTAAATTTTGTGAATTGTGCAGAAAGAATTGCAGCCCTTTCTTTCAAAGGGTACTATTTTGGTAGGTCACAGTTTGAGCAAAGATTTGAAAGGTAAGTAAAAATGTACTCAGTCAAGTGAGTGAGTATTGATTTTTGTTTATATTATTGGTTTTAGTTACTAATATATTAATTGGTATTTTGATTCCAGTGCTGAAGATAGATCATCCCAAAGTAATCGATACAGCACTTGTTTTTAAGTTTTCCAATGCAAGAAACTCCCGAAAACCTTCACTTAATGACCTTTGCAAGGTACATTCTTAATGTTTTTGATCTACTCGTGAAGAAATTTACATATAGAAAAACATTCTTCACATTAGTTGTTGATAATGTTTCTTTGAAATTATATTTTCCAGGCTATTTTTGGTAACGAAGTCCGAAAGGAAGGTGTTTCTCATGATTGTGTTCACGACGCAGCGGCTGCTATGAAACTTGCGATTGCTTTTATAGAGAAAAGAGTTGACACAACTGTTTCACCATCTAAAGAGGTTCTAAACATAACGATGCCTAGATTTATAGCAATATTACAGTTTTATATAATAAAATTTCAATAATTACAATTTCTGCAATTATATTTTCACAGATGCTCGAGGCTGAGAAAGCAAGGCTGTTTCTTCATGGAATCCCTCGCAATGTGACACCTCAAAAACTGAACCTTGTTCTCGCTGGAAAGTTTCATTCCAACAAGTTTATAGTTGATGTTAAGGTCGAAACTAAAACCATATATACTCTTCTCTGAAAGAAAAGCACTGAATCATTCTCTGACTTTTGCTTTTTTTTTTTCTTTTGGCAGCCACCAAAAGGACTGAGTTGTTACTATTGCGCAGTTGTTGTCTTCGAGAGTTCTGAAGAAGCTAACAAAGCTTTTGAAAACGTTGATGGAAATGAAGAGACGGTATTTTTAGAGAGTCTGCTTTTTTTTTTTTTTTTTTTTTGTTTAAGGATCCGAAACTCTGTTTTAGAGTGCTGAAATAAGTTGTTGATTCATGTGTTTTTTTGTTTTTTTTCAGGATTCATTGGGTTTGCCACAAAAAGTGATCTTTCTTAGCCTGGGAGCTTATTTTAAAGTCCGTAAAATGGTTTAAGATAAATGATGTATCCTAGATCTAAGTCAACTATTGTTTATCGTATTATTATAATTATTGAACTTTCTTCTATCCTATATGTTTTGGTATTTTGCTTGGTATTTGACGACTTTTAAAGAATTTTTTTACTGTTTCTGGATTATCCTTAAAAATCAATGGCAAAGCTTGTATATTATAACAGTATTATAATACTACGTTAATAAAATAACCTTTGTGAAGGTAATTAATTAGCTGGAGCAAAAATCAATATAGTAGAAAATTCCAAATGCAGATGCACGAACAAGGCTTATCGCCTACCACAAATGCATTTGCGAAGTAATAAAAATGTACCGTTATTTTGAATTATGATTTGCAATTTCAATAAAACATTAATAATGTCATGTGTTTTGTTTTTCGCTAAATAAAACTGTTACAGTTTTTTTTATTAGAAGCTATATAGAAACAGAAGTAATACAGAATCTGTGTGTATATATAATAAGTGATAAAACCTGAAATTTGAAGCTCAGTCGCTTTCGTAGTCTTCTTCCTCATCTCCAAAGGAGAAGACCGATGCGTCTGCAGCGATAGCTTTGATATTACTAACTGCTAATGACTCATTCGGTACTGGATTATAAAGACCAGAGGACGATGAACTTGTGACACTTCTGTTTGCAGAATTGTCATCGGTCTTTTGTGGCTCATTGATCTGATGAGGTTTACTAGTTGTGTGCATCGAGCCTACGGTTTTCTCGGTAGTCGAATTTGACTCTATGTGTTTCGAGTTTCCTTCCTCTTCCCCATCACTGTCCGAGAATACATCATCGTCTTTGTTCTGTTTAAACTTACCGGTTTTGCCTGAATCAGCACCGGAGCTGCTTTGAGGTTGTTGTTCGGCGGAGTAAGAAGAATCAGATTTGGGTTTTGTTGGTTGAGAGTTGTCGGATTCTATCATTACAATCTCGACATGGAACCCTGGTGCAGGTAATTTTCGCTGCAATACCATCAACAGGATCAAGTTTAATGGAAAGCAAGCAGGCCTGTTTCTCAGATTATCAAGGTTAATAACTCATTCTGTTTTACCTTTTCAAAGCCATCAAAGTCGATACCTTTCAGCATTGTTCTCTTATCAGTCAGTGTAGTATTTAGCCAACTGCGTGTAGAAAACAGAGTTAAGTTAGTGAAATGTTGTCGATTTTGGAAGATGTGAGCAGACACTGTGAAGGAAGAGAGTTCACCAGTAGAAATCTCCATCGCTGTCTTGAAAGTGGATTTTGAAGTCGCCGGCTAATTCTGTTAGACCAGCTTCACCAGGTATTGCAAAGACAACAACTCCTTTTTTCGGTGCCTTTATCCAAAAATCTTCAGGCTACAGCACACAAAAGCAGGTTTCTATGTCAAACAAATATTTGTTATGTAGAAAATAACAACACGAGAAAGAAAGATAGAGGGAGGAAGAGAGAACAATGCCTACCCCCAAATCCTTGGTTTTCTGATGTTTCTTTGTTGAGAAAAGTATATCTGTTTGATAGAAGAAAACAGAGCATCTATCACACGTAAGCGGAAATACAAGATACAAAAAGAAATTAGCTCTGTACCATTATGGTTGGAGATGGTAATGGCAGGTCTAATCCAGTAAGGGCAGTTTATTAGGCGAAACCCTCTGAGCATGCATCTACATAAATGTTTGTTCACTGGTTAGGGATAACTGAATATCACCACGATCAAACAAACTGATTTTTCAGGAATTTCTGAAGCATACCTTCGTTCAAGTGGAACTTTACCGCCAAATTGATTTTGAATACGTTCGTAGTACTTGACATATCGCTGAAGGAAACAGGTCAGCTCGTTTAATATGATGAGGAAGAATTGAACATGCAAACATAGTAACTATGAGCTCATGGCTTACAAGCTGACTTGGGAGAACAAGAGCTTTCCCGTCGAGACATCTCTTTTGGTTATAGTAATCAATCGCTTCCTCAGCTGTAGGAAAGAACTGTAATGGAGTTACCAGTCAGATCAGTCACAGGAGTCTTACAGAGAAGGAATGTGTGCATCGGCCAAGACTTTGCTTTTAAGTCTCACCTTGAGATATAGAAGAAGACAGCAAATCATTAGTCCGGTTCTTGCCATTCCGGCTTTACAATGAACTACCACTACATTTTGGATGTCTTCCTTCAGCCATGTGTATGCACTTTGACAAAATGATGGTATTAGTTGAATTGGAGGACAATTATGGTCATCAAATGGGAAAGATGCAACCTGAAATAACGGAAATCAGACATGTTATCAAGCAAACGCTATAAGAGGTCTATAAACACTAGGTTTGAAAACAAGACAACGACAGAAACTGTATGGCCTAAGATAGCAAGTGAGTATATACCTTCCCCTCAAATCTTGAAGCGTCGTACAATCTCTCTGAACAAAGGTTGTAGACCTTATATTTGTCCTGCATATTTATCAACAAGGTTTAGAGATCTGGCGTGCACCGACACGATCAAACATAAGCCATACTTTATCTGGGCTGCAGTGTCTAATCAAATCGAACTGGTATGAATCATATAAGAATTGGTGGAGTGTCGGGAACGGTTTAAGAGGCTTCCAGTCTATGTCAATGATTACCTTGTGATGAGTTTCAAAAAATTTGATCACCTCTTCCATGTGATTGCGATATAGTCCCTGTATATGACATTTGCCAATGAGAAACTCAAGGGAGAAAGAAGAAAAAGAACTAGCTGGGGAACTTATATTTCAGACCAGGACAAGCTTGTGTACCTCGAAAAATCCGAAGAGCCCAGAGCTTATATCACCAGCTGGGAACCCCATCGCGATTATATTCTCGGTTATATATGTCATGTCCAAATCAAATTCCCCCTCCTGAAGCAAGACCACGTACCATGTAAAACAGATATGTAAGTGATACCAATCCAGGCCCTTATATATACTAGAATCTAGCGGATGCATTACATTAGACAGCATGAAAAGCTCCTATAAACAGATGGAACTGCTAGTATTATGAGAACATTTTGGACCAGCCACTACAAAAGGGTAGTGTTACTGAAACTCTAATGCGCGTCACTACTGTTCCAAGAATCTAACACAAGAAGGAAGACAAGATTACTACACACACCTGGTATCTCCTTTTGTTCTGAGAGACAATGTGGCGTGCTTTCACCTGCATTGCTTTTACAGCACCACGAGATGAATCGACCACAACTTTTGTGAGCGACTCAAGAGCACCACCAACTTGTGTGTTTGGTGGGTCACCGACCTCGTCAGACCCTTTCGTTGGCAAATGCAGACCAAGCTCAGAGGTGAATCTTGTGAAAGCTGACATCCCAGAATCTGTAGCATTTGGATCTTGCTGTGGGAATTTGAAACTTTTGGCCCAAGAAGAAAGACCAGAAGAAGAAAATAGAGATGGCGGAGATTCACGTGTGGAGGAATCTGGCGGGCATGGAACTATATCATCTGTTTTACTCGAAGGCTCAGCCCCAGAAGAAATAGCTGGTATTTGAATATCAACTGTTGAAATTGAAGCTTCTGTAGTAATTGAGTCTTCATGAGTTTCTCCTGCAGAGCTCACGGGAGCTTCTTCAACTTCCATATCTTTTTCAGAAGGTTCAGAATTACCAGCAACGGATACATCTTTCTCAGTTAGTATAGCTGGAGACTGAGATGAAGAGCCAGCAGGAACAGTTTCCATTTACTCAGAAAATGATCAGCCTACTTAACGAGCAAACACCAACCTAATAACAAAGGAAAGTTCTCATTTAATCAAACACTGGAAGAACACAGAAACGACTCCAGTCCTCACATTATCCATATTTGTAGTATATGAACATGTATACACACGCTTGTGTGCGCATAAACAAAGTCTAGCTAAAGCTACTTGCAGATTTCGCTTCTAGAACAATCTGAAAGAGCTCTGAAGACGAAAAAATTGCTTCGCAGGACAAGGAACCTAAGGCCGTACTGGTGCATTGCTATAATCCAATAGGTTCGCAAATTCGAGATACGGTCGCATCCATTTTCACACATCTCTCAACGCCAAATCAATGACGGAGTCTTAGAATTAGGTCTCAATTCAGAAAACGATAGAAATCATCTAGCAGAAAGAGATCAAGAGGCGTGAAATGAAAAGCTAGACTTCTAAATTCGACAAGCATTTCGCAGGGGGAAAACAAAACAAAAAAAGAGGCTAGACATTGTTACCGGAGAATGCGGGATGCTTAACTTCGAGTTTTCTCGTAGCGAAGACGAGATTCAGACAATGGGGGAAGCAGATTCGGGTTGATTCAGAGCACCGTACGAAATTTCCGATGAACGTGCGGAGATTAACGATCAGTCTCCGCTCTTGCCGGTCAGAAATATTTTGTATAGTACATTGGGCCTTTAAAATGGGCCTGCTGCGCTAAAATGCACTCCTAGCAATTGCCTTGTCTCAGTTTAAATATTATCTAAGCAAGGTCTTTCTAAAGTTAAACTAAAGTTAATATCATCTAATTCCCACACAAATTTACATACTAAATATTTTTTGTAGTTCATCATCATTATAACTTTCGTAGAATTTTTTGTTTGTTTGGATCTAATTTCTATAACTAGAAAGGTTTCATTAGGATTGATAATTTGTGTCATATTCAATGTTAACGGCACATTCTTTTTCTTAAATGATATTTTTGTTTTTTTTTTTTGTTTATTTAACAACATATATATTAAAAAAAAGGTGCGATCATGCCAATCATTTTTTTATAAAGTTTACTTTCATGACAAAAAGTATACCATAGCTTTTCAAAACCCGGGTGTTACAATATCAGTGTTCTTAGCTTCAATACATATAGAAAACACAAAAATTTCTTTTCAATAATAAGAAAAAAAGTAAGCTATAAGAATAATGAAAGTTAGGAAGGTGGCTTGTAATAAGCATATGCAGCATAAAAACTTTGAGACAATGTGAGGACTAGTAGAATAACCGCAGCACAGAAAGAGACAATAGCCCATGGATTATTGAAGTACTTGTGTTTCAATGCTGCCCTCCAAGCATTCCACTTCTGATTGTAGTAACGGTTAACCTCAATCGATAACCGAGACAAATAACTATCTTCTGTGTCAAAAACAACTTCTTCACATAACCGGTTAAACAAATTCGCAACTTCGGAATCGCTCCCTAGCCAATGTTCAATAATACCGCAGTAGTGTAAGTAGCTAACATCTTCATGAGAGTCTATTAGATTGTCCATGAAGATTATGTAGGATGTTATGTCGTTGCTCGAGTCAACATGGCATTGCTCGAAAGCTATAAGATTCAAGAAAAGTGATTTGGTACCTACAAAAGAAAGGGTTTTGTTTTTTTATATGTTTAAGGAATATATAATTACCAAAAAATGTATTTATTCCGGTTGATAAAAAAATGTATTCGTTTATCTTTTTGCCTGTGTAAAATAAAACACTATTCCCCATTGCTTAAATCATTCTGAAATAGTCAATAGGGAATAATTGATGACATTTCCTTACTTAAGTTTAGCCAATCGATATATGAGGAGATAAGTTGAGCAAAACTAATCTCTGTCATACCAAAAATAGTTTTTGATAGTAAAAGAGCAAGAAAGAATTATTTTCTTTTTTTTTTTAATAAAAAGAAAAATTAATTTCATTCGGCTGGATATCACATTATGATCCTAACTAATACTGTATAATGTTCACCAGTGCATTTAAAATGATATCAACGAGAGATGTATGAAAATATGAAATTCTAAAGGTATGGGGCAAGAATTTAAAAATAGAAAGAGTGGAAAACCTTAACTTACCATCATGAATGAGAAGTCTCGGTATCTCTAAATAACCGTTTTTGAATTGAATATCCCAAAACCGGTCGGTTTTCCTTCTCCTGAACTTTATACCGGCTTCCCTTAGTTCCGTCACGCAATGTATAAGTTGTTGCCGGCGTTTGTCCGCCACGCGCGTATTCCGAGTCCATCTCTTTCTCGATAACCTCGACTCCGGTGTAGGACTAGACCGGAGCAGACTTCGCCGGAAAACATCCAGACAGTGCAATTCCCCCATATCGGTGAATGGGTCAAAGGCTTCTCTTGCCAGTGAGTTCTCGAGTTTTGACTTATTAGTTTTGGTCAACGGCTCGTCCGTTGGCATTAGTGGATCAAAGAACCGAATCGCCAATTGCGCCACTAAACCGGTTTGGTTCCTTGTACCGAGCTGTAGCTCTAATAACCGGTTTAGCACGAACAGAGGAAGTTGATTTTCCAGCATTATCATGTCACGTTGAATCGAATGCATCGATCCTCTCATCGCAAAAACCGGGTCATTACGTGCATATCTACACAAAAACGTTAAGAAGCAAACACTTCAAAAAATCAAAATGATCAAGACCGGTTTAGTCATGATTTGAGAAACCGGATATTATATATAACCAAAAACTAAAAACCAAGGCTAACCCGAGTTCAGTGAATCCTTCAACGGCTCCTCTGAAGAGCTCAAGCACAAAACAACCATCAAGAACAAGCATTTCGATGAATTCGTTACTGCTCAAACCAAAGGGACCTTCGTAGCAAGCTCGAGCCTTTTCCTCTATCTCTCTCATTGCGTCAATATAAATTTGAATGTTTTGGTTCGTGCGTTTCAAGATTCTGCTGACCGCTCGCCATTTGTGACGATCCATAGACCGGAGCCGTTTCTTGCCGTGGTGGTACGGACCAAGCGAGACGGTTTGAGGAAAATACGATTTGTTATCGTTTTCTTGCAAGTAATATGGAACTCTGTAGATGCAGAGCTTTCCCCAGATGGTCATGTCGTCGTCTCTATTCGCTTGCTCGAGCTTGTCTGTGATTGAGATCACCCAATCATCTTGTGTCTCTCTCGGGCTCTCTTTGGTTACCTCGATCTTACCTGCATCGGGCTCGGACGGAGTCTGCTCGTGGTTATGATTGTTCTTGTCTTGATCGGATCTGGTGATTTCGGGTAAACCGGGGAGGTTTTGATCTTGATTAACCGGTTCGGTTCTTTGGTTCTCGATTTCTAGTTTTTCGCGGATCTTGAGGGTGAGTAAGTACCAGCTCAACATGTCTTTGTAGAAGACAGCCACCATTTTTTTTTTGTTTTGGTTAGGTGAAGCTTTTTTCAGAGAATGAGAGAGAGAGAGAGAGGGAGAAAGAGGAAGAGAGTATTTGTGAAATATCAGAAGTGCTTATCAAAAGAAAGAAAATAAAAGAAGCAACTATATGTAAATGATTTGAAGCTATAATTGGTTACTTATTGTACTTATGGACCCAACTGATCTGTAATGACAACAACCATATAGTTAGATGCATCTTTTGAAAAATAACAACAGCCATAACTAGTTCTAAACACACACACACAACTAAGATTTACCTTTTGACTATTACTTACAGTAGATATATTAAACGATTCAAAACCACCTAACGCAGCTAAAGATTTTTTTTTCTGCTTTTGAAAATTTAAAATAAAAAGAATAATGTAATATGTATAATAAAACTAGTATTATACTAGTCGGATATTATCCGGGGCAGGTAATTTAATCCAGTATCCGATTATTACGAGCATGTAATAGCATTATGAGTCTGTACGGACCAAATGGAAAAATCAAGGCAAGTTCTCAACCTACTAGAAATGAACTCATATACATGCAAGTCGTTGAAGATGAGATAAGGTATCTTTGTCAAATCAGGGAAATTTTAAAGATAAAAATTATACAACAAAAACTCTTCTTTGGTATTTATGTCCCACTTGGTGTTGACTACATCACGGTTATTGATCTTGTGGTATGCATTAGGATATTTTTTTTTGTCAAATCTGTTCACTACAAATTATTGGTAATGGTAGGAAAGAGTTTTAAAAAATGGTAAGAGCATAACGGAACACGTCCATTACACAGAGGAACATGTCCATTACCAAAAAAAAAACATGTCCATTACACACAGCTAGTGAGGAACATGGCACGACCTCACCAATTTCCTTATAAATGATGTTTGGTTTAACAAACTTTAAATCTATTGGTTGAGACACGTTTTATTTGTTTCTTTTTATTTATGATAGTCTTCCGTTTTTTCTGTTATTAAATTTTGAATTTCGGAAACATTTACACTGACGTTTCCACTTTCCAGATTATCGTGTCTGTTTTCCGTTCATATGAGATTTATCATCTAGTAGACAAACAACCTCGGCATTTTTTTTCCAAAACAATAAACAATATTATAATATTAAATTAAAACAAATTTCATTTTATAGTGGAGATCACAAAATCATTTTTGTTCTCCTTTAATAACAAAGTCAGTTAAACTTGAGGATGACAAAAAATAAATACAACAAAATTGGATTGAACATTCTTCCCTTGTTCGAACCTATGGCTTCCAAAAGATAGTATAGTCAAGTTTTTTTATTTTACTTCAAGCATACTGTGAAGAAAAATACATAATGTCGGCAAAAACAAAAAATGCAAACATTCCGAGTTGAACGAAATAAACTGTGGAATACTAATGAAACTTAAGTAGGTGGCCTAAAATAAGGATATGCACTAAAAAAACTCTGAAATAACGTGAGAAATAGCAGGACAAGTGCAGCAAAGAAAGAGAAATATGCCCAAGGATTGTTGAAGTACTTGTGTTTCAAGATCGCCTTTAGAACATTCCACTTTCGGCTATAATTACGGTCGACCTTGTTTGACAATTGAGATAAATAGCTATTTTGAGGGTCAAAAGCTACTTCTTGACATAGCCGGTTGAACAAATCCGCAACTTCAGAGTCACTTCCTAGCCAGTGCTCGATAATACCACAGTAATGCAGATAGCTAACATCTTGTGGAGAATCTATTAGATTATCCATGAAGATAATGTAGGATGTTATGTCGTTGCTCGAGTCGATATGGCACTGTTCGAAAGCTATAAGATTCGAGAAGAGAGATTTGGTACCTACAAGAAACACAAGGTGATGGTGTTTTTGTAAGTTTAAGGAGTTATTGGCTATTAAAAAAAAAGTGAATTAGGGACTAATTGATGACTATGACTTTACTTTAGCAACTTCAACACAAAACCAAAATATTATGTCACCAAATTTTGTTTGGATTTTTTATAGAATAAAGATAGATCCAGTTAGAATGTTTAAACGAGAAGTATGTGTAAAATACGATTTAAAATGGTAAAATACGATTTAAAATGTGAACTCGATCAGACCATGCATGACATGTAGTCTATTGTTTATAGTAGTGTAACGCACGGAAAAAGGGATCTAATGTGTTACCATGCATCAAAATTTAAATCCATTAGAATGCATATTGTTGAAAAAAGAGAGAAAAGAATTGTCAACTCAATTACCGTCATGGATAAGTAGTTTGGGTATCTCCAGATAACCATTTTTGAATCTTATATCCCAAAACCGGTCGGTTTTTCTTGCCTTGAATTTTATACCGGCCTCTCTTAGTTCCGTCACGCAATGTATGAGTTGTTGTTGGCGCTTATCCGCCACACGTGTTTTCCACGACCATCTCCTTCGTGACAACCTCGGCTCAGGTTTTGTACTAGGCCGGAGCAGATTTCGACGGAAAACATCCAGACAGTGCAACTCTTCTGTGTCCTTGTCAGAAATTGGGTTAAAGAATTTATCTTTTCCCATCGGTTTTTCGAGATCGGTTTTGGTCAACGGTTCGTCTGTTGGCATTAGTGGGTCGAAGAACCGAACTGCTAACTGCGCCACTAAACCGGTTTGGTTCCGTGGACCAAGCTGTATCTCTAATAACCGGTTGAGAACAAACAAGGGAAGTTGATTTTCCAGCATCACCATGTCACGTTGAATCGAATGCATTGATCCCCTCATAGCGAAAACTGGATCGTTACGATCGTATCTATACGTCCAAACACCCAAAAAAAATGTCGCAAGAAAAAATCAAAGTCAAAACTTAGAATACCGGATATAAAAATCTAACCGGTTTAGAATGTATATGAGATAACTAAAATAAAACAAAAATTGAGTCTCGCTTACCCTAGTTCCGAGAATCCTTCAGCGGCTCCTCTGAATAGTTCAAGAACAAAACAACCATCAAGAACCAACATTTCCGTGAACTTGTTACTACTCAAACCAATGGGACCTTCGTAGCAAGCACGAGCCCTCTCTTCGAGCTCTTTCATGGCATCAATATACATTTCGATGCCTTGCTTGGTGCGTGCCATGACCATATTGACTGCCCGCCACTTGTGACGGTCCATAGGCAAGAGATGTTCCTTGCCATGGTGGTATGGACCAAGCGAGACGGTCTGAGGGAAGTAGGACTTGTTGTCGTTTTCTTGAAGGTAATGTGGAACTCTATAGATACATAGCCTTTCCCAGCTAGTTGTGGCGTCTTCTCTAAGTGCTTGTTCCATCTTTTCTTTAATCGAAATCACCCATTCTTCTCGAGTCTCTTCAGGTTCCCGGTTTCGGGTATGGATTTTTTGGCGCATCAAGAGGGTGAGAAAGTACCAGGTTAACATGTCTTTATGGAACGAAGATATGCCTTTGTTGGTTAAAGACGGCAATGGTGGATTAAATTTTCTTCTTTTGACAAAATTTCGCCAAGGAAGAACCGGTTCAAATGATGGTAGTGGCGGTGGTGGTGGTGGTGGATTTCTGCTTTTTCTTTTGAAGAAATACCGGCGAGGAGGAATCGATCTAAATGATGGTGGCGGTGGCGGTGGTGGTGGTAAAGTAAGAATGCGCACCATTGTTGAAGCGATTTCAAAAAATTAAGAGAGAAAAAATGTCAAATGTCAAAAGCAAAGATGTGCTAACATACAATAGAACTGTCTGAATATACATATGTAGACGTCTAATCATACACATACATTATTTATAAGTATGAAAAACTTTCCATTTGCTGGTTAACGCCATGACTAGCCACGTTTGATTTGTTTTTGTTCTACAAACTCTTATAAAAATACACAAATACTAGCCACAGCATAAAAAAAAAACTTAGAAAATCAGTTGCGAAATAGGACCTGTTGTCTAATGCTCCTAGTCAATATGCAACTTTTGCATCTCTCATATTGTGTTGCGGGCCGGTAGAACTCTGTTATAATAATTTTGTAAAATAGTTCTTTTGATCCTATATGCTTCGTGTGCATGTACTTAGATTCGTTCATCGAATGGTAGATCATAATATGTAGTACACTAATACCAAAGAACTTTATTGATGATGATGTTGTAAGAAACCAACAACATCATAAAGTAAAATGTTTCTTTCTGTTGACAAAAAAAAATGTTTCTTTCTTTACAATAATAAAGTACACCAAAAATCATTTTTTTGTTAATTAAGTACAACATAACCTAGGGTCACAATTATAAAAAAAACATAAGTGAAATCAAAATCTATTTTTGACATATGGCTTCAAAGAAAAGTGAAATCAATATTTAATTGGAATGCAATTAAAAAAAAAAAAACAGAGTGAAGAGGAGGATACAAACATTCCAAGTTGAACAAAAAGTATTAAGAAGGTGGTTTGAAATAAGCATAGGCGGTGAAAAAACTCTGAAATAATGTGAGAATTAGCAGAATAACTGCTGCAAAGAAAGAGAAATATGCCCAAGGATTATTGAAATACTTGTGCTTCAAGGTCGCTTTCACAGCATTCCACTTTCGGCTATAATTACGGTTAACCTTATTCGACAATTCAGATAAATAACTATTTTGAAGGTCGAAAGCCACTTCTTGACATAGCCGGTTGAACAAATCCGCAACTTCAGAATCATTTCCTAACCAGTGTTCAATGATACCACAGTAGTGCAAATAGCTAACATCTTCAGCAGAATCTATTAAATTGTCCATGAAGATGATGTAGGATGTTATGTCGTTGTTTGAGTCGATATGGCATTGTTCAAAAGCTATGAGATTCGAGAAGAGAGATTTGGTACCTACAATAAATACGAGAGAAGATCATAGTGTGATTTTGTAAGTTTTAAGGAATTATGGGAGTTCTCTAAAAAAGATCCATTTTCTTAGTCATTCCGAATTGGTCAAATAGGGAATAATTTGATGACAGATTATTGGAGAAGGATTGAAGTAGAAAATAATTCACATTGTATTGTAAAATATGATTAGAAAAACCATTTAATTTACATGCAAAGAGATTATGGATATATCACGTTGGGGTTTCTAAGTAATATGTTATTTATCAAAACTTATAAGATATAGGTGTAAAAATTAGATTTTGAAAAGAACATGTGGGCAATGAACTAGAAAATAAGAAAAAGCGAAAACGTGAACTTACCATCATGGATAAGTAGTTTGGGTATCTCCAGATAACCGTTTTTGAACTTAACATCCCAAAACCGGTCGGTTTCTCTTCTCTTGAATTTAATACCGGCCTCTCTTAGATCCGTCACGCAGTGTATTAACTGTTGCTGGCGCTTGTCCGCCACGCGCTTTTTCCACGACCATCTGGTTCGTGATAACCTCGGCTCCGGTTTTAGACTAGGCCGGAGCAAACTTCGACGGAAAACATCAAGACAATGTAGCTCTTCCTTGTCCTTGTCAGCAATTGGGTTAAAAAAATTATTATCCTTGTCTAGCGAGTTTTCGATTTCTGCTTGGTCGGTTCTGGTTGATGTCTTATCGGATGGCATTAGCGGGTTGAAGAACCGAATCGCTAATTGCGCCACTAAACCGGTTTGGTTTTGCGCACCAAGTTGTAGCTCTAATAACCGGTTGAGTACGAACAAAGGAAGTTGATTTTCCAGCATTACCATGTCACGTTGAATTGAATGCATCGATCCTCTCATCGCGAAGACCGGATCGTTACGGCCATATCTACCCAACACCAAATAAATAAAAAACATTAAAGACATAATCTGAAATCAGACCGGTTTAGCAAATATATGAGATAACTTGACAAATTAAAGACAGAAATATGGTGTTTAATCCATACAAACCAAAATGGGTTTATTTTCTTTATAAAATAAAACAAAACTGAACGGAACAAAAAAAAACCCGATCTAAATCCAAGTTTTTTTTTTTTGAAAATTAAAGAAATATTTCACCAAAACCGAGTCAACCATAGGTTTAATTTACATATTATTAAAAAAAAAAACAGAACAGAAATCCGGTTTGATTAACACCCCTAATTGACTCAAGCTTACCCCAGTTCTAAGAATCCTTTATCGTTATTGGCTCCTCTGAAGATCTCAAGAACAAAACAACCATCAAGAACCATCATTTCTGTGAACTTGTTACTGCTCAAACAAAGAAGACCTTCGTAACAAGCACGAGCCTTCTCCTCAAGCACTTTCATAGCGTCAATATACATTTCAATGTGGTGCTTGGTGCGTTTCATGACCATATTGACCCCACGCCATTTATGATGTTCCATGGGCAATAGATGTTCCTTGCCATGGTGGTACGGACCAAGAGAGACAGTTTGAGGGAAATAAGACTTCTTGTCGTTTTCTTGAAGGTAGTGTGGAACTCTATAGATACAGACCTTGTCCCAGCTAGTTGTTGCGTCGTCTCTAAGTGCTTGATCCATCTTTTCTTTGATCGAAATCACCCATTCTTCGCGTGTCTCTTCGGGTTTCTTGTTTCTTGTTTGGAGTTTTTGGCGCATCATGAGGGTGAGCATGTACCAGGTCAACATGTATTTGTGGTACAACTTTTTTCTTCTTCTACTCATTATTAAATGCCTTAGAGGAAGACTTGGCCCAAATGGTGTTGACGGTGGTGGAATAGGTGGTGGTGGCGGTGGTAGTGACCGTGGTGGCAGCGGTGGCCGTGAACATGACGGTGGTGGTTCAGTAGGAATTGGTTGACTTCTAGTTAGTCTTTGGATAAAATTTCCAGCAAACCGAGAAGTAATGGGCCCGAAGGGTGGTGGAGGAGGTGGTGGTGGTGGTTGTCGAGTAAGATTCACCATTTTTGTTTTGGTTGAAGCTTTTTTCAGAAGATTGAGACTGAGACAGAAAATGAGCAAAGATGTACCTACTGAATTAAATTTTTGATTGGTTGCTAATATTTATGGACATCTGTAATGACAAGCAACCATTATTATTATACAGAAACACGTTTATATATTATAAGCCTGACAAACAGAAAAAAAAAATCTGACGTTGTAATCAATACATTTTGTTTTCGTTAAAATTATAATGCGTTGACGGGCCATGTTTCTGGTAACTATGAAAAGTCTTGTGACAGATTATCGTAATATAGTATATATTTCAATGAAGCGAGATATTGTAACATTCAAACTCTTTTTAAGAAGAAAAGATTTGTACTCAACGGACTGAGATTTCAAATATCCAAAGTCTTATTAATAAACATATTTTTTTTTCATTACGCTAACAGAATAGCAAGTTTATACTAGCATTTTTAAATGTCTCTTCTCAACCAAACCTATACAGCTGTTATCAATGACAGATCTAGACAAATATTTAGTATGGAGCATAATAAATGTTGTTTTCTAAAAATTTTAGTTGCGTCTGTTAATTAAAATAAAAATATTATACCACCATATAAAATATAAATGATTATACCACTGTAAAATGTTAAAAGTAACTAAAAGCTCTTCTGTAATATTTTTCGGTTAAAACTAATACAAAAAGGCCTAATTAATAGTTAATAATGTGTCAAAAATATAGGAAAAGTAAAAAAAAGGAAAAATACAGAAGTTATATAGGAAGGAGACAAGTCGACTTTTTGAGTTCTGTAGTTTCGCGGCTATTGTGCTCTTTCGACTTCTCAGTGTTTCAAGTATTTTACTTTTGACTTTAGTATCCTATTATATGTTTCCAGGCTTAGTATCGTATCTTACCTTTATATTTCATCTTTGTATTATATACGAAAAAATTTCAGTGAAAAAAAAGGAAGGAGACAAGTCGAACGTGAGTGTTTTAAGTACAACTTTGGATACTAAACCAAAAAGACTAAGTCAACTTCTTCATCGTTAACTCCAAGCAAAGTTTAATAAAATTTAATTAGTATAGAACACCTAGCCCACATTCATTACTGTAGACTAACATCCTCTGATCCTCTATGTAACACTTATTCCGTACATAGTTTACATTTCATGTCACTAGCTCATTTACTAACTTAAAAAGTATCTTTTCTATCTTCTATATATAGCGTGCTAAACTATTTATATAAGAAAGATACCCAAACTTTCAATCAAATTTTATGTATAACGTCAAAATTTGGTTTAAAGTTGGTTAGTTAGGTTAATTGTCAAAAGCTCTTCTGTAATACTTTTTGAAAACTATTCTCGTCGATAATAATCTAACTACCATGCCGCTTGCTCTGGCTTCATGCATTCTCGTCACTCCCGTCTTCGTAAGAATGTTGGAAGCGGGTGCGAGCGAGACTTTGAGAGTCGAGCATTAGAACGCTTAGGAGTAGGCGGTATAGTAGAGGCAAAGCGCCGTGCCGTCTTTGCCAAGGCTTGTCATCGTCGACGTCGAGGAAAAGCCCTTATGTCCGAGGAATATACATGGAGAAGGCCACGTAGAACATGAGAGGTTTCATGTATAACTTTGAAATATGATCTCGTCACTACAACCACGTGGTGTCAACTCATGAGGGGATTCTAGGAGAGAGCTTAGAATGTTTATGGGGCCGAATCGGAATATATAATTACGTAGTCTAAGGGCTCTTCAAGTCGTTCATATTATCATATATACTCTTCTAAATACGGGTATTACTATAAATTTAAACTCAAGCACAAAACAACATTTTATTTTATTTATTTTTTCATAGAAAAAGTTATATAAAACAAAATCTAAAAATTTTTAATGACATAAGTTATTCCTATAATCTAAAGAAAGAAACTAAAAATCTATAGGCCACATGTTATTTTGTTTTTATATGTGGTATTACAAATAATAAGAATTAACTATAAACTTGAGATTTTGTTTTTAAGAAAAAAAAGTTTTATTTAAGTTATTACAACTAGTATATATCCCTAGTTATTATCATATTTTATTAATTTCAACGATATAATTGTGGCCTATAGACAGCTTTGTTCATTAGTTGACCATAAATGTATCGATCGAAAGTTCGTGTGACATCCCCTACCCCTAGTGCTACTCAAAATAACGTCGGGGAAGATCAATCCAACTAACTAGTAACTAAGATGTAATAAATCGAAATGAACGGAAACTCGGCACATGGCACGACCTCACCACTCTCGTAAAACTGATGAGTTGCTCTTATAAAAAGACTACATGATATATAAACTCATATATATATATAGTATCTTAAGATTTAATTATTCAAGATCTTATAAAAAAATTTGACCAACCAAAAATAGTGTTGACATAGCTAGTACCCAAGTATAGGGGATCTACGAACATGTATCATGTACCCAAACCGTGTTAGATGATTCTGTATATACTTCTTCATTTATTACGATATATATAGAGTTCCAAAATTCAGCCATCTCTAATCCTGGCGCTGGTCTCAAATAATACTATGGCCATGACCATGAGAGTTTGCTGAATTTTATTTGTTCGTCCAAGGTCCGCATGACAATTAAAGATATTGGAAATAATTTGTGGAAGAAGATAGTTAATTAAAGACCAAGTATACTGTATTCTCAAAACTCGAATATAAGCTTATTTTGATAAAATAATTCTTTCAAACCCAAATATTACAATGCAAACTTTTTATTTTGATACGAAGAAAATACAACATGTCACAGAAATCAAGCATTCCAAAATACAACGAAATAGAAAACCACATAATAGTAATCATGAAGATTCAGAATCTGGCTTAAAATAATCATAAGCAGCAAAGAAAGTTTGAGATAATGTGAGAATCAGCAAAATAACTGCTGCGGAGAAAGAGCAATATGCCCAAGGGTTATCGAAGTACTTGTGGTTCAAAGTCGACTTCCAAGCATTCCACTTCCTGAACCAGTTCTGGTGATAACATTGAAGAACCTCAGTCAACAATTGAGACAAATATATATCATTGGTGTTGAAAACCACTTCCTGACATAACTGGTTGAACACATTCGCAACCTCAGAATTTTCCCCTAGCGAGTGTTCGATGATACCACGGTGATGCAAGTAACCAATATCTTCAGGAGAATCTATTAAATTGTCCATAAAAATTATGTAGGATGTTATGTCGTTGCTCGAGTCGGTGTGGCACTGCTCGAAAGCTATGAGATTCAAAAAGAGAGATTTGGTACCTACAAGCAAAAATGGAGAGGTGGTGTAGGCTTGTAAGTTTGAAGAATATTTGGATTCTATTTAAAGAAAAAACTAACGGAGCATTTGTTTCATTTTCTAATTTAGAAACTTGATATTTATAGATAAAGCGATTGTAAACCTGACATATATACACAATTGATTTTGTCACCTACAAAAAAGATAACATACTTTTCTGGAACTACATATCACACATATGATTCCTAACATATGTAGTCATTATCAATGCATAGAGAGGACTAAACAAGTGTATAAATGCAAGATTTCAATAATAATAAGAGATAGGAAAATAATATAACAAAAAAAAAGGATAATAGAAGATTTAGTTTACCGTCATGGATATGAAGACTAGGTATCTCTAGATAACCGTTGTTGAATTTAATATCCCAAAACCGGTCGGTTTCTCTTCTCTTGAACTGAAAACCGGCAGCTTTTAGTTCGGTCACGGTAGGTACTATTTGTTGTAGGCGTTTGTCGGCCACGCGCGAACCCCATTTTAATGTATTTCCTGACGACTTGGGCTCCTGTCTAGGGTAGAGAAGACTTCGCCGGAAAACATCGAGACAGTGCAATTCGCCTAAGCCGGATGGGTCAATGGATGATGCATTTATCTCGGCCGTTGGCATTAATGGGTCAAAGAACCGGACTACTAGTTGCGCCACTGAACCGGTTTGGTTCTGTAGCTCAAAGAGCCGGTTAAGTACGAACAAAGGAAGTTGGTTTTCCAGCATTATCATGTCACGTTGAATCGAATGCATCGATCCTCTCATCGCAAAAACTGGATCGTTGCGATCGTATCTGCATAACATCCGAAAATAAACAAATCAATCAAGATCAGCAAATTTAGATGACTGGATCTGAAATCAGACCGGTTTAGCAAGAATATGAGATAACCAGAAAACTGAATCAAGATTACTTGAGTTCCAAGAATCCTTCATCGCCTCCTGCCACTCCTCTGAGGAGCTCGAGGATAAAACAACCATCGAGAAGAGGCATTTGTGTGAACACGGCACTGTTCAAACTAATGGGACCTTCATAGCAAGCACGAGCCTTTTCCTCGAGCTCTGCCATGGCGTCAAGAAACACTTCAATGCCTTGCTTCGTACGTTTCAAGACCTTATTAAGCGCACGCCATTTGTGGCACTCCATGGACCGGGTTTGCTCTTCCCCATGGTGGTACGGACCAATCGAGACAGTTTGAGGGAAATACGACTTGTTGTCCTTCTCGTGAAGGTAATGTTGAACTTTGTAGATACAGAGCTCGCCTCTGCTAGTTCTGTCATCGTCTCTGTTTGCTTGATCGAGCTTGTCTTTTATCGAGATCACCCAATCACGTCGTGCGGTCCCGCTCCCGCTCCCTTTGACCACCTCGACCGTGCCAGGTTTGAAACTGTTGTGCAAGTTTTGGTCTTGACCAGGTCTGGTAGTTTTGGGCAAAGGGCGGGTTTTAGGATCTTGATTATTATCCGGTTCGGATTCTTGGTTTTCGGCTTTGAGTCTTCGGAGGAACATTTTCAACTTGTCTTTGTCGTATCCTCCACTTTTGACATGTTGCCCGGTAAGCCTTAATCCCCTGAAAAGTGGCTTCGGTGGTGGCTTCTCTGGTGGCTTCGGTCGTGGCTTCTCTGGTGGCGTTGGATTCTCCATTTCGTTGGTTGAAGCTTTTTGGCGAGAGAGAGAGCGAGAGAGCGAGAGAGGAATACTTGGCTGAATCAGCGAAGGCGTAACATTTAAAGCTACACGATCTGGCCATGTGTTTGTATTTTTATATTTTATTTTGGTCCTACAACTTTCATATAAAAAGACTACGTACTTTCTACGTACTTTGATAAAAACAAAGACTATCAAGTGACAAGTCTATATATCATCATCATAAATGATTGTTATACTATAGTATATTAAACGAGTGAGATTGTAAATGTCAAACTTCATTGAAAGATACTTAATTTTTAATTCTTGTTATATACTAATACTACAGTTAGATGAAATATCCCTTTTGACTCTTGTAAAGGTCTGACTTTCCCTATGATTAACGTAAATTTAGAGTAATTTTAAAAGATAATTTTGCCAAAAAAGTTTGGTTTTAATAAAATATTTTCAAAAAGTCAATGAAGTTTCAATCATAAATTAACACCAACAAGAATACAATAATTTTTTCTTTCTACAGTTGTTCCACGAAAAACAGTATAATTTCGTAACTTAATAGAAACATATATGTTTGTAAGTGTGAATGTAGTTAACTACATAATTAGAATATGAATTAATATGTAATGACTAACATACTATTATTAAAAATAGATAACCATTAGTAATAGTTTTCTTCTTGTTTAATATAGTTGTCGATTTCACATTAGAAATTGAGAAATTGCTCACTTTAAATATAAAACACTATCTTACTATCCTTTTTACTGTTAAAAATACAAACAGCCAGGACCAGGAGATGCTATTTTCTAAAATAGTAATCGAAAATATTTTCATACGATTATTAATTTAGAAAGAATGAATATCGTTTAAACTAGTTGTCTGTATAATACTGCCTTTTTTCTGGCTAAAAGGTTAATATAGTTCAATGCCTTGCTTCGTACGTTTCAGGACTTTACTTAGAGCATGAGCATTAGCGGCCCTAACCCAAATTTTAGTGGGTTGCATAACATTATTTTGTGTTAAAAAATTAGAAAGGGAGCCCAAAAAATCATGGATCGACCCATAGCTAAGCAATTTAAGGGCCGAGCCATAATAAAGCCCTTGTGCGACGTGTCAATTTTTAATAGGATAAAAGAAAAAAAAATGAGTTCTCGCGTGTGGGGCGAAAAAAATCCGAGGGTTTGACATTTTGCGAGAAAAAAAAACACCCGAGAGCTCTCTGTAGGCGATTTCGATGGCGATTGATTGCGAATTCTTCTCGGAGCAAATCGACGGCGGTTTCGACTGTTTTCCGGCGGATTGGATCATCGAAGGGCGAAGGTTAGTCGTTTTTGTAGGATTCGTTGTGTTTTATGCGTGTTTGTTAGGTTGTTTTCGAAATTAGGGTTTTGAATTGGGGAAAAAATTGGGGGTTTTTGTGTTGAATGAAATTTGACTAATCTCAGTTAATAATACTCCTGAATATTGTTGTTTGAAAGCGTTTACATGAACATATAGACTGTATGTTGTGAACTGAAGTATATGATCGGTTCTTTGTATTTCGGTGAAGTATTTTTGAGTTTAAATTCTTTTGTTACTGATGTTTATGATCGGTTGGTGATGTATATGATAGGTTTTGTTTAGTGTATCCATATATATCATGTGAGTTTGATGATTCAATTGGATTCAAGTATATTATCGGTTTTTTGTAATCGGTGAAGATAATTTGGAGTTGTAATTCTTTGGTTACTGATGTTTATGATCGGTTAATGCTGTATATGATAGGTGTTTGCATTTATATCATGTTATTGTTAATGATGTTGTTGTTGTGAATTTTTTTTTATGATCGGTTATTGTTGTTGTGAATTTTTTTTGCGAGTGTAAATGGAGAGAGAGCACTAGGGATTCTTGATGCTGATGTTACTTCCTTCTAAACACAGCCCAAGGTAAGTCTTCTTCAAACCAACAAACTTGTAGTTAGCATCTTGTTTAGGGTTGATAGTTGCTTTCTTTGTATATGATCGCATAGTTAGCATTGAGTGTAAATGGTGGTAGTTGTCTATTAGGTGAGGAGTAATGGTTTAGTAAGGTGTTGCTTAATTTTAAGAAACATTTAGTGATTTAAAAGCTGTCTCAAAATCACATCAAACATCTCAAAAATTAACTATTAAGCTAACAAGTAGTAGCTTTCATTAAAGCTGCTTATTAAATGTACCAAACTCTTAAAAAACATCACAAACACTAAGTCTTTCAACTCTCTTTCAAATATAGAACTCGCTTGTTCTAAAAAACAGCACAAACTCTAAAACTTCTTAAACACTTATCTTCTAAAATAACTCTTCTCTTCACAAACTTTTGTTCAAACTCAAACGTTTGTCTTTCCTCTTTCACAAACTTCCTAAATCTAACTCTTCTATTCTAAACACTTGTCTTACAAAAACACATGGATTCTATGAACCCAAACGGTAGCTCACAGGGTTTTGTGAACCTCTTAACAAGGCAAGAGGAACACACACTCTGTTTTTCGCAGAGTATAGACCCTGGTTCATCTCAAGTCCCAATTTTTTCAACCCAACTCTTCCCTGACCCGAGTCCTGCAGCTGAAGAACGAAAAGAGAGGAGGAAGTGGTCACCTGTAGAAAATGTTGTACTGATAAGTGCATGGCTCAACACCTCCAAAGACCCAATCATCAGCAATGAACAAAAAGCTGGTGCTTTTTGGAAAAGGATAACAGAAAGTTTCAACAACTCTAAGAAGATGGCGAATGAACAAGATAGAGAGGCTGGTCAGCTCAAACATAGGTGGCAGCGTATTAATGACCACGTTTGTAAGTTTGTAGCTTGTTATGAAACAGCTTTGAAGCAGCAAAGTAGTGGACAAAATGAGAACGATGTGATGAAGGCAGCTCACCACATCTTCTACAATGATCACATGTTCAAGTTCAACCTTGAACATGCATGGCGAGAACTCAGACATGACCAAAAGTGGTGCTCTGTTTCTGCTGCTAAAGAAGGTGGAAAGCCAAAAAGAAGGAATGTCGATGCAACTACAGCTCATTCTGAAAGCTCACAAACCCAAAGCCTTGATGTAGAAGAAGGCTTCGAAGGAAGCAATATGGAGAAACGGCCACAAGGGGTTAAGGCGGCCAAGGCTGCAAAGAAGAAGGGAGTGGCATCTTCCAACAAAGAAGGAGAAGTTGATATGAAGAAGCTACAAACATTGTGGGATCTCAAGGATAGAGACCTTGCCATGAAGGATAAGATCACTAACAAAAAACTGCTTAACACTCTTCTCCTTAAAACCGGACCATTAACAGAGAGAGAAGAAGCATTGAAGACTAAGTTTATTAATGAATTATTGATGTAGTTGGTGTATGACCCATGAATCGGCTATGTAGTTTTTGTGTTTGTATTTGATGTCAATGTAGTATGTTGCTTAACTTAAAATGAATCGGCTATGTAGTTTTTATGTCGCTTAACTTAAAATGTAGTTTTTATGTTGCTTATCTTAAAATGTAGTTGGTGTATGACCCTTTAGTCTTTTTTTGTCAATGTATACAATTATGCAAGTTTTTGGTACATTCTTCTTATTAATAAAGCAGGTATGAATGGTGGGAGCTTGAAGACCGTAGCTTTTGCTCTGAGAAATGGACCTACAAGGACGATCAAAGGGAGCTTGAAGACCGTTCCTTTTCGTATAGTTATTGTAAACCACGAGTTATAAGTTTTGGAATGTAATGTTTTGTCATTTTTTTGTACACAACAAGTTATATGTGGTGGTTGTAAACTCTTATCTTTTTTGTAATCCACAAGTTATATGTGGTGGTTGTCATTTACTCTTCTCTATTTATAGCTGTAAACGTCAACATAGTTTACTCATCAACCAATAAAAATACCCATTTTCTCTGAATATTTTGTCCATCTTCTCTAAAAAAATTCCTCTCTTCTCTAAAAAATATGGCTTCATCTTCCAACAATGATTCTGATGATTCATTTGATGAAGCGGTTGATGAAGTTTGTGAACAAGCATTTGATAATATGTTTTACGCAATGTTAGATCATCAAACCGCAACGACGCAGAAGAGGAAAAAACGTGCATATATAGAACGAGAACGCGAGCAAGGCCACCACCGCCTATGGAATGACTATTTCTCTGAAGGTTCAACATATCCGCCACATGTTTTTCGACGTCGTTTCCGAATGAACAAGGAATTGTTCATGCACATTGTCGATCGCCTATCAAATGAAATTCCGTACTTTCAACAAAGAAGAAACGCTCATGGAAGGTTTGGTCTATCCGGACTACAAAAATGTACGGCAGCAATTCGTATGATGGCATATGGTTGTCCGGCTGATGCAGTTGATGAATATCTCCGTCTAGGTGCAAGTACTGCACTGTTATGCTTGAAAAATTTCACTGAAGGAATAATTCAATTGTTCGGAGATGAGTACCTAAGAAGACCCACGCCCGCAGATCTTCAACGATTACTCAACGATGGAGAGAGACGGGGATTTCCCGGGATGATGGGAAGCATAGATTGCATGCATTGGGAGTGGAAAAATTGCCCTACCGCTTGGAAAGGGCAATATACACGAGGTTCTGGAAAACCGACAATTGTCTTAGAGGCGGTAGCATCACAAGATCTTTGGATATGTCACGCTTTTTTTGGACCTCTAGGTACCCTAAACGATATTAACGTACTAGAACGTTCACCTGTATTTGATGACATTTTACAAGGTCGAGCTCCTAAAGTTCAATACTGGGTTAACGGACACAAGTATAAGATGGGATACTACCTCACCGACGGTATTTATCCCAAATGGGCAGCTTTTATACCAACTATTCCACTGCCTCAAGATGATAAAACATCATTATTTGCCACTACCCAAGAATCTACCCGAAAAGATGTCGAGCGTGCTTTTGGAGTTCTACAAGCTCGTTTTGAAATTGTAAGAAATCCAGCTCTTTTCTGGGATAAGGAAAAGATTGGCAATATTATGCGTGCATCTATCATATTGCATAATATGATAGTAGAAAATGAACGGAATGGGTACACTCAATATAACATAGAAGAATTCCAATAAGGAGAGTCAAGCAGAACTTCACAAGTAGACAATGAGTACTCTACAGAGACATCGTCAAACATCGGAAATCTTATCGGGATACGAAATCAAATCCGTGATCCACAAATACATGAACGCTTGAAGAAAGACCTAGTTGAAAATATATGGAACAAATTTGGCAATTCTCAAGAGTAGAACTACAAGTTTTACATTTCAAATATCTGTATTTTGAATTTTAATAATTTCATGTACTGTTCTATAATCTTGTTTAATATGTAATGAATGTTTAAATTAAAGATTAAGTTAATAATTTTTGCAAAAAAAATATTAATTTTTTATTGCTAAGCAACTTTCTTACAATCCCTTTAATGCAACATTTGATGATAAAAGTTGCTTAATTATCCTTAAACTCAAAAATAATATTATATTAATGCTAAGCAACTTTCTAATAGTCCCTCTAATGCACATGCTCTTAGCGTGCGCCAATTGTGGCACTCCAAGGACTAGGTTTGCTCTTCCCCATAATGGTACGTAGTACATAGAATTTTTTTTCCTTTTTTTGACATCAACGTAGTACATAGCTTCTTATTTATGGAACTCATGTTTATAATGAACTAGTAGCACCTTATGTAAACATATAGTATATCTGTATATATATTCACACTTCAAAGCTATTATCTGAATTCACATATTATATAGATCTAGAAATATGGTCGCACCATTTTCACACATCTCTCAACGCCAAATCAGTGACGGATTTTTAGAAATAGATTAGTCGAATCAGAAAATCTAGTGAAATCATCTAGCAAGCAGATTAAGAGGCGTTAATTATGAACAACACAACCTAGGGCCACACTTAAATAAAAATATAGGTGAAACCAAAACCTGAAAATTGCTCAATCTACTTTTGATATATGACTTCAGAAAGTAAGCGAAAATCAATACCTAATATATGGAATTGGAATACAATAAAAGGATAGAGTTAAGAAGTTACAAACATTCCAATTTCCAAGTTGAATGAAATTATAGAAACTTTGGAATATTAAATAAAATTAAGATGGTGGTTTAAAATAAGGAAAAGCAGTAAAGAAACTCTGAAATACTGTGAGAATCAACAAAAGAACTGCAGCAAAGAAAGAGAAATATGCCCAAGGATTGTTGAAATACTTGTGTTTCAAGATCGCTTTCATAGAATTCCACTTTCGGTTATAGTTACGGTCAACCTTATTCGACAATTCTGATAAATAACTATCTTGGAGGTCGAAAGCCACTTCTTGACATAGTCGGTTGAACAAATCCGCAACTTCAGAATCATTTCCTAGCCAGTGCTCGATGATACCACAGTAGTGCAAATAGCTAACATCTTCGGCAGAATCTATTAGATTGTCCATGAAGATTATGTAGGATGTTATGTCGTTGCTTGAGTCGATATGGCATTGTTCAAAAGCTATTAGATTCGAGAAGAGAGACTTGGTACCTTCAAAAAATACCAGAGACCATATGGATGTTTTGTAAGTTTAAGAAAAGTGTACAATTTGCTTATATCATTCCGAATTGGTCAAATAGGGAATAAATGACAAATTATTTACTTTAGTAGCTTGTGGAGAAAAATTGAAAAATCCAATATATATGAAATAAATAATTTGGTTTTGCTAACCTTTGTATAAAATAAGAAAGAATAAACGAAAAATGTGAACTTACCATCATGGATAAGTAGTTTGGGTATCTCCAAATAACCGTTTTTGAACCTAATATCCCAAAACCGGTCGGTTTTTCTTCTCTTGAATCTAATACCGGCCTCTCTTAGCTCTGTCACGCAATGTATCAGTTGTTGTTGGCGTTTATCCGCCACACGCGTTTTCCATGACCACCGGTTTCGTGATATCCTCGGCTCCGGTTTCATACTAGGCCGAAGCAAGCTTCGACGGAAAACATCCAGACAATGCAACTCTTCTGTATCCTTGTCAGAAATTGGGTTAAAGAACTTATCGTTTTCTAGCGAGTTCTCAGGTTGTACCTGGTCGGTTTTGTTTAATGGCTTATCGGTTGGCATTAGCGGGTTGAAGAACCGAATTGCTAATTGCGCAACTAAACCGGTTTGGTTATGTGGACCAAGTTGTAACTCTAATAACCGGTTGAGTACGAATAGAGGAAGTTGATTTTCCATCATTATCATATCACGTTGAATTGAATGCATTGATCCTCGCATTGCGAAGACCGGATCGTTACGACCGTATCTACACAACACCACCAACAAAGATCAAAAAGATAATATGAAATATCAAACCGGTTTAGTAACTTTAGTTCAAAAATTTAATCAGGCTTACCCGAGTTTCAAGAACCCTTCATTGGCTCCTCTAAAGAGCTCAAGAACAAAACAGCCATCAAGAACCAGCATTTGTGTGAACTTGTTACTGTTCAAATCAATAATACCCTCGTAACAAGCACGAGCCTTTTCCTCAAGCTCTTTCATGGCATCAATATATATTTCGATGTTGTGCTTGGTGCGTGCCATGACCATATTGACTGCACGCCACTTGTGACGGTCCATGGGCAAGAGACGTTCATGTCCATGGTGGTATGGACCAAGCGAGACTGTCTGAGGGAAGTAGGACTTGTTGTCATTCTCTTGAAGGTAATGTGGAACTCTGTAGATACAGAGCTTGTCCCAACTAGTTGTGGCGTCCTCTCTAAGTACTTGTTCCATCTTGTCTTTGATCCAAATCACCCACTCCTCTTGTGTCTCTTCCGGTTTTTGGATTTGGGTTTGGAGTTTTTTACGCATCATTAGGGTGAGCAAGTACCAGCTCAACATCCGTAGTGGTTTATAATTTCTTCTTCTTCTTCTTCTTATGATGATATCGGGTACAGAAAGATTAGGCCCAAATGGTAGAGATGGCGGTGGTGGTGGTGGTGTCGGTGGTAGTGGTGGCGAGGGTGGTGGTGGCGGTGGGGGTGGCGGTGGCGGTGGAGGTGGTGGCGGTGGTCGAGTAGGTATGGCCATTTTTGTTGGTTGAAGCTTTTTCAGGAGATTGTGAGTGAGACAAAAAGTCAAAGGCAAAGATGTAACAACAGATTTAAAGCCAAAAAGCTTTGAGAAATTCAGATGGGTTTCTCTTTCATTATTCTATTATTAAAGTTAAGAGAAAGAAATTAACTTATGTTATTTTGTTGTATATTGGAGAAACTAAAATGAGTTTCTTTAAATTATTATTTTTAATAAAAATGTATTATTTAGAAACTTACATTATTATTTTGACAATAACACAAACTTAAGATATTAATAATCAGAATTAAAAAAACAACAAAAACTTAGCAGAATATTCTTATTATTTGAAATAACCCAAATTTAACAATAAAACTTAGTTAGCAACTTAATGATCTTCAAATTGTTGTCATATATGCTCAACCAAATCTGCTTTCAATTGGTGATGAATTTGTATATCCCGAACTCTTTTCCGATTATTGAACATCTCAGCGATATTTGAATGCATGTCTGTAGAGTATTCTTGATCCACCTGTGCATTTCCTTCTCCTTCTTCTTGTTGGAATTCAGCAACATTAAACTGGTATCCGTCACGTTCGTCCTCTACTATCATGTTATGGAGAATGATACAAGCCCTCATAACTTTTCCAATTTTTTCTTTATCCCAACTAAGAGCCGGATTTTTAATAATGGCAAATCGAGCTTGCAGAACTCCAAAAGCACGCTCCACATCTGTTCAGAACCCCTCTTGACGTTCAGCAAATAATGTTGCTTTCTGACCCTGAGGAAGGTTAATGGATTTGACAAATGCGGCCCAATTCGGATAAATACCATCTGTTAGATAGTAAGCCAAATTGTATGTCGTTCCGTTGACAGAAAAAGTAACTTTCGGAGCTTTACCTTGTATGATATCATCAAAGACAGGGGACCGATCTAGAACATTTATATCGTTTAAAGTACCTGGAGGTCCAAAAAACGCATGCCATATCCACAGATCATATGAGGCTACGGCTTCTAAAACGATGGTGGGCTTGCCATGACCACGAGAAAATTGCCCTTTCCATGCGGTGGGACAATTCTTCCACTCCCAATGCATACAATCGATGCTGCCTATCATCCCAGGAAATCCTCTGCTCTCTCCAACAGCAAGTAGTCTTCGAAGATCCTCCGGTGTGGGTCTTCTTAAGTACTCATCTCCATAGAAATTAATTATACCTTCAACAAAATGTTCCAAACATTTACGAGCCGTAGTTGAACCGAGACGAAGGTATTCATCGACAGTATCAAAAGCAGTGCCGTATGCCAAGAGGCGAATTGCGGCTGTACACTTCTGAAGTGCAGAGAGACCTGGTCTTCCGGCAGCATCAAGTCTCTGTTGAAAATAAGGATGTTCATTGGACAGACGTTCTACAATTTGCAAGAACAATGGTTTGTTCATTCTAAACCGTCGGCGGAATAGATTTGCGGGATATGTCGCATTTTCTATGAAGTAATCATTCCACAAACGGTTGTGGCTCTCTTCACGATTTCTTTCAATGTAAGATCTTTTCTTCCTTGGATTCCTTGTCTCTTGTTGCTCACCATACCCACTAACAAGGTTTTCATAAGTTTGCTCATAAACATAATCAAAAGCTTGATGGAAGTATTCATCAAACGCTTCATCTAAATTATTGTTGGAAGATGATGAAGCCATTAATGAAAGATGATTTCGGTGAAGAAAGGGTGTTTGGGAAAAAGAAGATTGGAAGAAGTTGCAAAGGTAGAGAGAAGAAATAATGTGTTTGTTTGAATTGAAATCGTTTGCCAAACTTATAGGCGAAAATATTGTTCACTTTATTTTTTTGTTTCTGCTATTTTACAAAAGTCGATACATCAAGCACAATAAAACAACTTTAACAGGTCCCATATTCTTGTTTCTTCATGTCACGAGGAAAGTAGTATCAACGTGATAATGTCATGTCTGTGTTCTCTCTTTTGGCTCTTCATGTCACGAGGAGACTGGTGTCTTCAAAGCCTGATACGATGGTATATTAAAGTGGCGTATCCATCCTCCAAGTCTCGGGCAAGTGAAAACAAAAAAATAACAAAAGGCAAGAAGAATTTGGTCAGATCACTCATTACCATTAATACAACTAAAGGCACCACTTCTTAAAAGCTATACACCAACTACAACATATATCATTAATAGAATTCAACTAGATGCATTAAAGAGAAGTCTGTTTCATTTTGATACAACATTATGGTAAAACTACCATATCATAAATGCGACATGACAACATAGAACATCAAAGACAAATATCGGACTAAAACAAAGTTCAGACTACAACAGAAGACAACCTTTAACAAAGTTCAGAAAACAACAGAAGATGAAATTAAAACATGAAACTGATAACAATAAAACTTGAAACTAAAACATGAAACAGGTCAATAGAACATAACACACAGTTCACACTAAATATTCAACAGCTCAATGGTCAGCTTTTGCTTCAGGGCTTCTTCAAACTCAGTGAGGGGCTCTTTCTTGGCGATTAAACTGTTAAGTAATGACATCTTTGAGAGTCTCTCTTTTCTGTCCATCTCCTTCTCTTTTCTGTCAAACTCCTTCTCTTTTATGCTCCACATATCTTGGAAATGACCCACAGCATTGGCATCAAGCACAAACTTCTTCCCTTTGGCTTTTGCTGCCTTTACACCAGGAGGCCTCAAAACGGGTTCAGGTTCATCTGGCTCTGCGAATGAGTTTGGCGAAGGAGCTCCATCTTCACATCGACGTTTTTTAGAGCCTCCACCAGTTTTAGAAGTTCTTTGCTCACACCATTTTTGATCGTTACGAAGCTCTTTCCAGGCGTGCTCTAAAATAAACTTCTTCTTATTATCATTGAAGTATATCTCGTGTGCCATCTTGAGAACATCATTCTCGTTTTGGCCACTAGTTCTCTCCCTTGTTGCTGCATCATAACAACCAGAGAATTTGCAAACAGCTTCATTTATCTTCTGCCACCGCTGCTTACATTGAATGGCTTCTCGGTTTTGACTTCCTGCTGGCTTTGACTTTGCAAAGTACTCTGCTATTCAACTCCAAAAGGTACCACTCTTCTGCTCGTTGGAGACCACCGGATCTTTAGAGGTATTGAGCCAGGAGCTTATGAGAAGAATGTCATCACTCGGCGTCCACTGCTTCCTTGCTGTTCTTTCCTTCTCCTTGTCTTCTCCGCAGCTTGCATCTCCATGGAGCGTTTGTGAGCAGAAGAATGGAGGCTGTGATGATCCAAGTGCCATACAAGGGTAAGAAGCTGCACTCTCTTGTTGATTGTTCAACAGTTCAACAAAATGAGAGGAATGACTGAAGGGATATGAAGACATATCCTGAATGAAGTTGAACGAGTTGAAGGAGTTGAACAAAAAGAAGAGAAGCAGGTTTAGAAGAAAGAGAACAATGCAAGAGGGTTGAAAAGAAAGAGAACAATGCAAGAGGGTTGAGAAGAGATGGAAGAGAACAAGAATGAGAACAAGAAGAGAAGAAAGATAACAAGGCAATTGGAAAACAGAGTTCAATGACTCGTTTAAGTAAATGAGAAGAAGTAGATGCAAAAAAAGGTAACAAGAGAAGAGAAGAAAGAGCACAAATGCATTCAACACACACACAACCATATCGACATGACACAAAGCATTCATCACCATACCAGCATTCAACACAAAGCGAACTAAAGCCCCTAAACCATTTATTACTACCACTTTATTACACGCCTAATCACTAATACCTATACAAAGCTACACTAACCCTTTTACAAAGCTAAACTAACCATACCAGTGAACTAACCTTACATATTGGTTGAATGATCCCTCTCTCCTCTTTGTTTAATGAAGAACAAGGACAAACCTGCAACCAAAGCTTGGAACAAACAACAAAAGATTAGCACCCTAAGCCAACTTAAAAAACAAACACCAAAACATGAGTTCTAAGAAGTTTACACTACCAACAAAACCATCGATCAAAAATAACAAGGTCTATGAAGTTTCATTCTCTAAGTCGAACCAAATGATCTCAAATCATATCAAACCATATCGCTAAACCTTACCCCAAATCAAAACAGCTTAACCAAATCATATGCATCTAAGAATCGAATACAAACGTCTAGCCAAATCCCAGAAACAAGATTTCCAACTCAATCTACTTTGAAACAAGATTTAGCCTAAACACAAATCGATTAACAAAATCTATATCGATTACCAAAGGGGTTTAGAGCAAATAAGACTTGTAAGAGATAAAGGAGAAGATTGATAACGAAAATACCTACCATGCAAGGATTTGTAAGCTCCGATTCTTCAAACCGATTTCACCACTCGGTTCGAAGTAGATGAAGAAGCACCGCCGCTGTTCAAGAGGAGATTGGGACGAGGATACGTCGGAGACTTCGAGGAGAAGAAGTAGAACCGCCGACACCACCACGAAGTCAGAGAAGACGCGAGGAGGATTCAGAAGGCCACGGAGATGTCGAGAAAGTCTCTCGACAGAAGAATGGTCGCGGAAAAAAAAAATTTGCTCACAATTTTCTTTCCAATCCAACACCCAATTAAACCCTGCCACGTACACCAAGAGAAACGATCCTTTAAGTCGCGAAAGAAGGATCGATCCACTTAATTAAACCCATTTTTGATTTTTAAAAAAGCCTAATAATTAAAGAGAAACGCTTGAGAAACGACCGATAAACATGGTCTGTGATTGGTTGCTTATTTTATACAAACGCATTTATGTTGTAATGTCAACAACAAAAAGTATACATTATACATCTATGCACTACCTACACACGTTAAGTCTGACATCTAATCTAATCATACATATTCATTAACTATGAGTCTAAGAGAATTGGATAATGCCTCTACTATCATATGTAATTTTTTTTTCCTTCTACAAACTCTTACAAAAAATTCTTAAAGTCTCATGATAAATTCCTGTTATAGTATATTTTATTGACTGAGATATTAAAACACTAGTAAATTATTGACAACAATTGAGCACGATATACAATATTTTCGAATTCTTATCAGGAAAACTCTATTTTTTTCCTAATATGTCAATGGAATAGCTAGTTAATAATTCCTTAGCATTTGTTTAAAATTTCTCTCGAGCCAACCACACCTAAACTGTGATTAACATTGTTTATGTACTAATTGAGAAAAATATTAGAGTAAAAGTTTACATCTCGCGAGTGTCATTATGTCAATAGTTATTGCATACCGTGTTATTTATATCATCCCGGAATTTTTAATATATTGTTATACATCGTGTTAAAGTCTCTTACATAAAAATCCAGTTAGAACGTAGTAATAAAATCGTAGACATCGGTAACTCGGCGCATGGCACGACCTAACCATTCCCGTATATACGACTCCAATAAATTAATTCTTCTTTTTTTTTTTTTTTAAAGCTCCAATAAAATTAATATAGTATAATATATTATCAACATGATAACATTCACCATCTTTTGTGTAAATTCTCAATAAGTTTGTGTAATACTGTATTGTATATTCAAGAATGATAACAAATCAGAAGGCACACGGGTTGACACAATAATAGGGAAGTTCCATCATCTGATACAACCAAAATTGTGTTCAGACATGCTCACATGCAAACCAGTGTCCGAATATAGGGAACCTAATAAGCCAGCCCCGACGAACATATATCCAAAACAAGTGGTCATCAGAATATCTCTTAAAATTTGTTTATGTTCAGATAGTATTATATTAGGCAATGCCCATTCTTGATCTGTTACTTTTCATTCTATTCAACTTCACTTCTCATAGTCACTGAGAACTTTTGCAGTTTTGCCTCATCTAAAATATGTACAAGTACCAAATCAACCTTTTTGAATGTTACAACGTCAGTGTTTTATTTTTAATAGTAGAAAACACAAAATTTTGAAAAACATGAAAACACAAATATTATAAATGAAAGAAAAATCTGCCCAAGCGTAATTGACTTACTTGTGTTTCAAGGTACACCTTCTAATTTTTTTGACTTACGACTATAATAACGGTTAACTTCACCGGACAGTTAAGATAGATAACTATATTTTGGGTCAAAACGACTTCTTGACATAACCGGATAGTCAAGATAGATATATTTTTTTGGATGAAATTTCAAATTCATAGTAGTTATTTACATGGTGAAAGAATAAATTAACTTAAACAAAAAAAATTAACTACTGTATAGGCATTTTTGAATACATATGCCTAGGTTATAAAGCCATCGGCCCAAAAAAGAAGACTATCTACCACGAATTGTCTTTTCAATAAGGCGAGCAAGGTGTACGTTTAGTGTCGAACTCTTATTTTGCCTTCTTCGGTTCTCTCTTTCCACACATAATCGAATTGAACTGAAAGTTAAATTACATTTTGGTAACTGAAAATCAACAACAAAGGTAATATAGAAGCCCTTATTTATGTTTTACAAGCCAAACCTGAAGGTGAGAGAAGAGATCTCTGTTTCCAAAAAAAAAAACAAAAAGATCTCTGTTTCATCATTACATTGCAAAGTTGGTCTGTACTTTGCTTACCAGATGCTCTCCATAAACAGCTCTTTTGAAAACTTGTGATGTTCCTCCCCCTGAAGGGTACTTCTGTTTACAGATATCCAATGGCTCAACTACCGCGTCGAAATTCGTCTGTTTCATACAAGATTCAAATACATGAATGTCGAGTACCAGAGGAAAACACAAACGAGTGTTAACAAGCTATATAGAAACCTCATAGAAGAACGCAACGCAGACACGGTATTGAGGAGAGTTGTTGATCACTCTATGAAGTGTGGATTCGTATACTCCGTTTGAAAGTATCTGCATATTTGATTCCCCAAAAAGATTCTCAAAAATGGATATTTAAGAAAAGAGAAGTGAGAGTAGGAAGAACAAAAACCTTTAACATGTCGCCGATGTTGCAGACAAATGATCCAGGGATGGGAATGGCTGATATCCAATCGCCGCCCAAGTTTCTCACCTTTTCAAAGTTAAATCTCTTTTAGAGAGACAATAACTCTTTCTTCACACAAACATGAAATCAGAGGAAGTTTATCATACTACTACTACCTGAAGAGCAGTTTTGTCATCATCTTGATTTACAAGAGTTAACAAGCCTGCAGAGAACAGTATTGCCCATTGAGACAAAAACTATAATCAGAAATTCAACTTGAATTCACATCAGTTTAAACATAATTACCATAGTCAGTGTGAGCTCCACTGGAACCAGAGCAGCATGGTAATTTCGGAAAAGGTGAGTTGCTTGAGCTCATAAGCAAGATAAGGAATCGTACTAAACAGAAGGGTAAGTAGGATGTTACCATCCGATATCATTTACGGGCTGGCCATTTGTGAACGGAGCACCTGGATATCCAATAAGACGCATCACCCAAAATGGCTCTCCAGCAATCTTTCCTTCAAACTCATAAGGTGTTCCGCAAAGTGCTAAAGAGATTCCCCTCAAAATCTTTCTAGAAAGATCTGAAACCATGAAAATGAAACTACAAACTAAGATTTCTTTTTTTCTTTTTCTGAGAAACAACACTCTTGAAAATAAAACACTTAACAAAAAAACAGAAAAAAGATAAAACACCTGTACAGAGCTTAGTATACTCCTCCATCAACTCTTTAAACTCTTGGGGATTCTCTGGCCTTCAAAGAAAACGCCACAGAAACAAGAGAGAAATGGTCAGAACTCAGAAGACGACACAATACAATCAAGTACGTAAACGAGTATAGATTACCACTGGTTTGGCCCTTCCATAGCTTTTCCTACATCACCATACTTCCCCTGCTTAAACTCTCTATAACACTGTCCTTAAGAAAACAAAAAAATCATCAGGAGAATCCCATGGAAACATAGCTAGTGCATCTAGTGGACACACACACTCTTACATCAATGGCTTCGTGCATGTCTGGCTTTCCCTTGGTAACATTTTCCCCAATTCTCTGATATCCTCTGTTCAAAGAACATCGAAACAACGGTAAATTATTCCGATTCTGGAGAAAAAAAAGTAACAGTTTTGTATATAAAAACAAACAAACCTGTAGCCAGCTGCTGGAGTCATCTTGATCTTAAGTTTCTCCTCGTAAGGAAGCTTAAAGAACTCACGCGTGATCTCTCTGACTTTATTGATTACATCCTCCGAAATTCCATGGCCTGTCTACTCTCCACCAATTTATAAAGAAAAAAGCAGAGAATATAAAAACCCTCCAAAAAAAAGGAAATCAATTTCAGCTTATAAAGCACTAGCTAACGAATTGAACTCGATTTGTGGTACCACGTAGAAGAATCCGGATTCCCGACAAGCCCGATCCAGTTGCCGGACAACCTCAACAACTCCGGCATCCTCCGCCATGTCGGAATCATCACATTTGACCAATAGAGGAGAGATATCTGCAACATCGTCATCATCGAATTTGAGCAGAATTTCAAGGATTTATCTAGTTTCGTTAGCAGAATCAATCCTCACCAGAGAGTGAGATTGGCTGAAAGTAACAGAATTTGTTTCGTTAGTTACCGATAACTGGTAGGGTTTTGAAGTCCGTTGCCATCTCGAGCAAGATGATGTTGAAGCTCTCGGTCTTCGTTGACTCTCTCTCTCTCTCTCCTTCAGAATTTTTGACCAGATTCGACTTCTCTTTTTTTTCTTCCAAAACATTTACGTATTAAACAAAGTAACCTTTTGTCTGAAACCAAAGGTTCTTACAACATCCGATACAACAAAATAATTGAAGTTAGTCGATGTTTTTTTTTTTTTTTTGCTAAAACCTGTATTCGCTAATCTGTTTTGTTTCCCTTTTCTTTGTTTTCGACCTTAATCTTATATGATCTTCATTTTTTTGCTATCCTCTTCTTGATAAAAACATCAACCATATGTCAATATCACACGACAAATTGCATTGCTTTCACTGAAACCTTTTTTCTCACAATTCACATCAAAATGTGCTTTAGCGCTGTTAGTAATTTGAATTTTCGGCAAAAAAAAAAATGTTAATAATAATGTGATAATTTTGAATAAAGAGACTTGATCTCAAATAGAATCTTCCACTAGAAAAGAACCACGGGACTCCGGACTACAATATCTTGGTTAATATTACATTTTATTGATCAAACTTTCTTTTCTTTTTATCATATATCCCTCTTTGGATTTCACTTCAAATCTATGTGACTGAGGGAATAGAAAATCGATTTAATTTAGAATTAAATCTTTACATAGATGATAGATCCGAGATTCATGAAAAAAGGAAAAAAAAAAATCAAACTTTTCCAAAACCCGCTGTTGGTTGGACTTGGAATGCATGACGTCTCTCGTCACTTCTAAGACAAGGAATTAGAAACAGAACGTTTCTTACGATCACTACAAAACCGCGTGCTGTTTTTATCCATTTTATCCAAAACGTAGTGCGCAAGCAAGTCGTTAGACTCGACAAGATTCTCTCTGCACAAGAACTCATCTCCACAAAGCCTCTCAACGTCTCTGTAATAATCGTGCACGAACACATGAGTCTTCGGATTCCCGCCTTTTTTACTCCGAGCAAGAACCGCCGCCGTGAAAATCGACGACATCCTTCCCGGTCCTTCGTGAGCGTCTCCACGTGGCCCGTCCACAAAGATCACATCCCAATCCACATCGTACACGTGGTTCGGCAAATCGTTTAGACCTAATTTGCAATCGGAGAAGAGGAGATTCTGCACGGGACGACACTCGTTTCCCACCGCTTCTTTCGCCGCCGCCACGAGCTCTCCGGCCTCGTGAGCTTTCGTCGTGTACTGAACATCGAAAACGTCGATCTCCGGGTGGATCTCTTCGAAGTAAGCAGCGTAGTATCGATTTTCTTCGACGAAGACCGTGCGTCCGTTGTGGTTTAGCGATTTCCAGAGGAGAGTCTCGTGTGTGAGACCGAAGACGAGGAGATTACACGGCGGAGCGCAACGGCGGAGTACGTCGGAGATCGATTTCATCTCGCCGTAGGACATGTGGAAACTGTCGTTGGATCTTGACGCGTAGTGAAGTAATGCGTTGATGGCGGTTGTGGGTAGATTATTGGAGTTGGATAATGTCGTCGTCGGAGATGTTGTTCCTGCGGCGGATGTTACGACGGCGGCTACGGCGGCGGCTACGGAGGTGTTTTTGGAAGGGATTGTGTCTCTAGTGTAGAGGAGAGTGAGGAGGAAAACGATGGTGAAGAAAGAGACAAAAGCGAGAAGCCATAAACGAGTTGTGCTCGTTTGTTTTTGGATGTATGGATGAAGAAGGATGAGTTTTGTGTTCGTGTTCCCTGATCCGCTTTTCATTGTTCTTGCTTCTTCTTCTTCTTCTACTTCCTCTGTTTTCTTCTTCTGAAGATTTTCAGAGGAGGAAGACGGTTGCAGCCTGCAAGATGGTTTAAGATTTCTCTTTAGGAGAAATATGGGATTGATTTAATAGGAAGTGGAGTACAGAGTAGTTTTCATGAAATGTGACCCATAAGCAAAAACAGAAAAACAACAAAAAAAATGTACTGACATAGTAGAGATGAAATAACATTATGATAAATTCTTATTAACATTCGAGAAGTTTGTTTTTCTTTTTTTTTTTAATTCATATACTTTTTCGAGCCCAAATTTAACAGTTTTATAATCGATTTTCTTGTAAGAAACGTGAAAACATTGATTATGATTGAATTATTATTTTTTGGAAGGTATGATTTTAGATTTTAATCTAGAAAAAATACATTTAATTACATTTCTAGCTAATTGGTTCGATCAAATACAAAATTCTTTTAAAACAAAAACAAGTTTCTAACTATATTTTCCAAAGCAATAGTAAATTTTTTTATCATTTATAACGAGGGTGTGTGAGGTTGTTGTATGTAAAGGTGTAAGAGTTTTGGTCATTGCGAGAGACACCAGATCTAATTACAGACCAAAAGTCTCTGTCTCCTATTGCTTTTGTTTAGCTCTTAAGGAAACAGCTCAAAACTACGAGATAAAAACACGCACACAAAACATGTAAGCAATAGAATATTACATATAAACATTTTACGCAATCTTTGATTATTAGCCACCGTTGGACTGGGACATTAAGTTCATTGAAATACTTAGAGGATTTTGTTTGAAAACATACATATTACAACTTCACAAGTTACAAATGAACTGAAAAAAAGGTGTATGTGTGAGTGCGTGTATTCTTTTTGTAACTCGGGTTTAAGATCGAAACACTCTGAGACTATCAAGTATCAACATGTGTTGAGAAACTCTTAACAAAGAAGAAGGTTTCGCAAATGACACTAATCATAAATTTTTGAAAAACTCAGCTTGACAGAAAAGCTCTCGAGTTTGAAAACAAAAGACACAACCCCACGTAGTTGAGACATTTCCATAGTACGGAAGTGATGACGAAAAAATATTTCGTAGGCTCGTGATCTGAAGTATAGAGGAGGCACTTCCAGTGCTCAAGCTTAACCTAATTTGTATCTAAATCAGGATCGTTTCTAGGCATGTGCGAGGAGTGCATTTGCACCGAACCATTGATAAACTAACAAAAGAATTCGTGTATTTAACGGTCCAAAATAATTTAGAAATATATTATACATGTAATTAGGGTCCATATTTCAAATATTGCACATGGACCATAATTGTTTTTGCTATTTTTGAGCCGGGCCTGATCTAAATTTAAGGTGGTTGTACCAATGAGAAAAAATAGTTAACTATATTGGATTTTGTCATTTGAGATGCTTTTCGCCAACATGTAATGTAAGCAATATCAGACTATTTAATTCTGGTCGTCGTAGAAATCTTCTGTGTTCTTCTATTCACTCGACTACTCGAGTAATTAAAGTCATGTAAAAGGAAGGGCATATGCGCAGTCTTATTTGTTTGTTTATAAGTCGAGCGTTCCATTATAGGCAGTTGCACTACTAAGCAATTCAAGCAATACTTGCACAGTTGCACGATTATGAAAAACAATGTTCTAAATAAATTTTGGAACAAGCTTTAAACTTTACATGGTGTTCTGTATATATCGACAATATGCATTATATGGGATTGAACACTAGTGCAAACACAACAGCAATACTAACACAAATATTTTAAGTTACATGTTCTAGTCAACTACTGTAATAGCATAATAATTTAGAATTCCTTATTATTTTGTATGATTGTTGGGAGATAATAATAATAATGCGTCGAGTGAGAACGAATGTGAACGTACGATGTCCTTTTCTTTGTACCAATGCAATATTTATAATGAAGATCCATTTTGGTAGCTAGGTATAGTGTGCAAAACAAGTTATGATGCTAAATACTTGTACATTATATTATCTCTGTTATCGTCTGCTAATATATCTATTGTATTCAAATAATCAAATACAACAACAAATCATGTGGTATGAACATATGACGGTCCTGAAATACCATTAAAGGACGATTGTTTTTCAATCTTTGGAAATTTTTACGTGCAATTCAATTATTGAGTCCAATTCATAGACAAACCCATGTTTTTATCTGCAAATTTAAAATGGCATTTGATAAGAAAAGCTGTATTTAGAAAGGGAAAAAAACTAAGTAACAATACAATACGTAGTGCTCTGTTATAGTAAAAAACTAAAATGTGAAGATTTTTATTTATAATACGTTGTAAATCATATGTTTTTTCTTTTTAGAATAACTAAGATGTTCTTGGTCAAATCCTATATATTTCTCAAATCTGAAACCAGAGCATGGTCCGTCTCAAGCATCATTCGATCATATGTAACATTTAAATTTTGCTTTTGATATCTCTTCTAGCTAACCATATTTGATTATAAACCATAAGTTTTTGACAATAATTTATAAACAATTGGATATTTGAGTTGTGCCATTAAAATGTCTATAATTGCCAATGCCAATGAACAACTCCGTAAATAATTATTTTACCTTCTAAAACTAATTACTAAATCACAGGCTCTTATTTAACAATATCATCTTTTGTAAGAAAAAAACAATCTCTCTTAATAATGGGTTTAATTTTTTTTAACAACTTCAATAAATAAAAAAGATATTAACTAAAATGATAATTGATTTTGCTTAAGTTTTGAAAAACACAGTAAAATTATTAAAAAAAATAGATGAACCAATCATGCGTATTGCGTAATATATATATACACACGCGTGGCACAAGATTACATACATATTGAAAGCCTTTCCGAATAATAATAACTGACAGATGCTCTTCTCCGTAACACAACCACACACAAAATGACACTCTTCCCTTACTCTCTTCTCTTCCTCTTCCTTCTCCTCCGTATCTCCGCCGTCTACCCTCTCCCGCCGGCGAACTACTTCAACTCCTTCTTGCCTTCCGATGCCGTTGCGCTACTCTCCTTCAAATCCACCGCTGATCTCGACGACAAGCTTTTATACTCCCTCACCGAGCCTTACGACTACTGTCAATGGCGCGGCGTCGAGTGCTCTCAGGATCGCGTCGTTCGTCTCGTTCTCGCCGGCGTCGGACTCCGGGGAAATTTCTCTCCGGAGACTCTAAGTCGTCTTGACCAGCTCCAAGTTCTTAGCCTCGAGAATAACTCGCTCTCTGGTTCGATTCCTGATCTATCCCCACTCGTCAATCTCAAATCCCTAATCCTAAGCAGGAACGGTTTCTCCGGTACTCTCCCTCCTTCGATTCTCTCGCTTCGCCGGTTAATCGTGCTCGATCTCTCAAACAACAACTTCACCGGTTCGATTCCGTCTGAGATCAATGTACTGAGTCGACTCAGTTCCTTAAACCTCGAGTTTAACCGACTCAGTGACACGCTCCCGCGGCTGAATCTTCCGTATATGACGTCGTTTAACGTTTCCGGGAACAATCTCACTGGAGCGGTTCCGGTAACGGCGACTCTGTCGCGATTCAACGCGTCCTCGTTCTGGTCAAACCCTGGGCTCTGCGGTGAGATAATCAACAGATCCTGCGGTTCACGCTCTTCCATGTTCTTCAACTCTCCGAAACCGAACGCCACGTCATCATCTTCTTCCTCGCAAGCGCCGGGAGGGCAAACGGCTCAGACCGCGCAAAACGGTGAAGCAGCGATGACTATTCCGGCGCCGGTGGATTCATCAGCGAATACAAAAGGCAAAAATGGATGGTTGGTGCTCGGTTTCACCATTGGCCTCGCGTCGCTGATAGTCCTCGGTCTCTGCCTCGTCGTGTTCTCGCTGGTTAAGAAGAAACGGAGAGACGACGATGACGTGGTGACGTTTCAACCGAATCGAAAAGGAGACAATACGTTCACGCAACCACCAACCGATGCCGTTCCAATCTCGAATTCAAATTTCAAATCTCAGAAGCGCGAAGAGGAAACCAAAACTCAAAACCCGCCGCAGAAGAGAGTCCCAAGAAGTGGAGATCTGATTTTCTGCGGCGACGATAACGGAGGAGGTGAATCGGGAGAAGCCATGTACACACTAGACCAGCTGATGAAAGCTTCGGCGGAGCTTTTAGGGAGAGGATCGGTAGGGACGACGTATAAGGCGGTGATGGATAACCAAATGATCGTGACGGTGAAGAGATTTGCTCCGTCGACAACAGCGATTACCTCCGATTTGGCGTTCGAGAATCACATGGAGATAGTGGGTAAGCTCAGGCACCCGAATCTCGTGCCGATTAAAGCTTATTTCCAGTCAAACGGAGAGAGACTTGTCATCTACGACTACCAACCTAATGGAAGTCTCTTCAATCTTGTTCACGGTAACGCTTCATCTTTCTAATTTCTTTCCAATTTCTACTTCTATTAGGGTTTTAGCTGTACTCACTGAGTCACCACCGAGTTGTTGATTTTAATCACTAAATTATTGTGTTGGTCTCCATCATATCAGAACTGAGAGGTGACAAGAGAGGTATTAGTTGATAGAGACTTTTTAATCTTCGTTATAAAGCAGACACCTTTATCACCAATGAAGTAACTCTAGACTTGACCACATAGTGACAATGGCGGAGTTTATTATTAAAATATCTTTTGTCATTTTTGTCCTTTTCGAATAACTGTAGATAGAAGACAGAATCTCTATGCTCTTTTTCACGTGAAAATTCCAGTCATTTCGTCAGGAATGTGTGTTTATCTAGGAGTTATTTTCGAGAGTGTTGCATAATTACTCGTCTATGATTGGAAGTATGTATAAATAAACTCCAATCAAAAATCCTAACACAAGAAAACATATAGGCTCCAATCCATCACTCATTGTTTTCTGTTCATTTCCATTATTTGTTTCTGAAATGACTATGAATGATCTCAATATGTTTTCCATAAAAATCCAGGTGCAAGAACTTCAAAGGCAAAGCCATTGCATTGGACATCATGTTTAAAGATAGCAGAAGATGTAGCTCAAGCACTACATTACATTCACCAATCATCTGCAAAATTCCATGGGAATCTCAAGTCCACTAACATCCTCCTCGGTCACGACTTCGAAGCTTGTCTCACAGATTACTGTCTCAGTGTCTTGACAGACTCCTCTGTCCCTCCCAGCGACCCTGACATGGCTTCCTACAAAGCACCAGAGATCAGGAAATCAACAGTAAACAGTCCCACATCCAAATGCGATGTATACTCGTTTGGAGTCTTCCTCTTAGAGCTACTGACCGGTAAAACAGCTTCGAGGCAACCGTTTATGGCGGAAGACGATATGTTGGATTGGGTAAGAGCAATGAGGCAAGAAGAGGAAAGGTCAAATGAAGAAAATGGGCTTGAGATGCTGACTGAAATGGCTTGTCTTTGCCGTGTGACATCGCCGGAGCAAAGGCCGACGATGAGAGAAGTGATCAAAATGATTCAGGATATAAAGGAGAGTGTGGTAATGACTGAAGAGAATGATAAGTTCCAGTACTCGTAGTGTTTTTGCGTTTTTGAGGGGTTAAACCGGAGAAGAATGAGGATATTTGTCTACTTAAAATTGTAAATTTTCTTAAGATGGGAAGGGGGAATTTGTGATATTTGTTTTTTGAAATTTTGGAAAAATCTCGTCCATGTGATGACGTAGATAGATTTTTGCCGGTGAAGATAACGTGCACCACGGACATGTGGTTTTGAATATTCCGTCATTGTAGTAGATGACTTATTGGTTACTGGATCAAGTTGCAAGATCATCACGGATTTCAAGCAAAACATGTCTAAGACATTTGAGATGAGTGATCTTGGATGTTTAACTTATTATCTAGGTATCGAGGTGACTCAATGTGAAGGAAGAATCACACTCAAACAAGAAAGGTATGCGAAAAGAATTCTAGAGGAAGCTGGTATGAAGGATTGTAATCCGTGTCAAACTCCTATGGATCCTGGACTAAAACTGTCAAAAGGAAAAGAAAAACGAAGCATTGAGGCGAAGGAGTACAGAAAGATCATTGGCTGTTTAAGATATTTGATTCACACTAGACCTGATCTCTCTTACTCTGTTGGAGTGCTCAGCCGATACATGCAGGATCCAAAAGAATCTCATGGAGCTGCGCTGAAACAAGTTTTAAGATATTTGCAGGGCACTTACTCGCTTGGCATTGCGTTTAAGAAAGATACAAGGTTGGATTTGGTTGGCTTCAGCGATAGCTCACACAATGTCGACATTGATGATGGGAGAAGCACCACTGGACATATGTTCTACTTGAATGACGGTCCTATTACGTGGTGCTCACAAAAACAAGAAACTGTGGCGTTATCCTTATGTGAAGCCGAGTTTATGGCTGCCACTGAAGCTGCCAAACAGGCGATATGGTTGCAAGAACTACTTGGAGAAGTTATTAGAAGATCGTGTAAAAAGACATTGATTCGAGTTGATAACAAATCTGCTATAGCTCTCACGAAGAATCCTGTCTTCCATGGCCGCAGTAAGCACATCCATAAAAGGTACCACTTCATTCGTGAATGTGTTGAGAACGAACAAATTGAGGTACAACACATCCCGGGGAATGAGCAGCGAGCGGATATACTAACGAAGGCTCTAGGAAGATTGAAGTTTCGAGAAATGAGGGAGCTAATTGGAGTTCATGAAGTGACATCTAGTGATTTCAAACTTAAGGGGGTGAATGTTGAGATAAGTTTGAAATCTTCTAGAAATACTTGAGGAACAAGTTGTGGTTATCCTTTTCTATTGAGTTATAATAGGAAAAGGAAAAAGGACATATTTAGGAGTTAGCTAAATATGTAATATTTCTATTAAGATTTGGAGTTATCAAACCTATATAAGGAGTTGCCAAGTTGTGGTAAAGCTTATGGGATTGAGGCTTAAGTTTTTGAGAAGTTTTCTTAAGCAATAAGAAGAGTTATTTCTTAATCTTGATCTCACAAAGCTTTCAATTTCTTTAATTGGTATCAGAGCACAAGAAACGATCATAACAACCGATGGGTCCAGACGGAAAAACAGAGAGCAAGGCAGAAGACTCAGGAGAAGCATCGTCACCGATGTCGAAGATGAAAGAAGGTGGGGGCTCGTCCTCTATAAAGTGTCCAATGCTGAATTCATGCAATTACACGGTTTGGTCGATGCGCATGAAGGTACTGCTGAAAGTACACAAAGTATGGGAGATAATAGAATCGGGTGAGATGGTTGGTGATAAGAACGATTTGGCGGTGGCCTTGATCTTTCAATCAATACCCGAAACCCTCATACTACAGGTTGGAGAACTGGACTCGGCGAAAGATGTTTGGGAAGCGATCAAGGCTCGACATCTTGGAGCAGATCGTGTCAAGGAGGCGCGATTACAGACACTCATGGCAGAATTCGATAGGCTTAAGATGAAGGATAATGAGAAAATTGATGACTTCGTGGGCAAGCTATCCGAGATGATCTCCAAATCAGTTGCGTTGGGAGTCGAGATTGAAGAATCCAAAGTAGTCAAGAAATTTCTTTCAAGTCTTCCCCGAAGGAAGTACATTCATATAGTGGCCTCTTTGGAGCAAGTGTTGGATCTAAACACAACCTCTTTTGAAGATATCATAGGCCGTATAAAAGCCTATGAAGAGCGAGTAGCGGATGAAGAAGATACTCAAGAGGAACAAGGAAAGCTGATGTTAGCCAACGCAGACTCACAATCCACGCAATCTTATCAAAACTTTGGTAACAGGGGCAGAGGAGGAAGAACCGGTGGCAGGGGAAGAGGTCGAGGAAGATCTAATGACAGAAAGGATACGTCAAAGATTCAGTGCTACCGGTGTGATAAATTTGGTCATTACGCCTCAAATTGTCCAGAACGCCTGCTGAAATTACAAGAAGCTCATGAGAATGAGCAAGACTCTCAAGAAGCTGACGAATTACTGATGCACGAGCTAGTCTACATTAATGAAGAAGGGATGGAAGATGGAATGGTTTATCTTAATGAGAAGAACGTTAAACCACAAGACTTTGAGACATGTTCAGCTGAAGATAATGTCTGGTACTTGGATAATGGTGCGAGCAACCATATGACTGGAAACTTGAGGTATTTCAGTACTATTAACGAATCGATCACAGGAAAGGTGAGGTTCGGAGACAATTCACGCATCGATATCAAGGGAAAGGGTTCGATCACTTTCACAGCCAAGGGAGGAGAGAGGAGAATTCTTAATGACGTCTACTACCTGCCAAAATTGCAAAGTAATATTATCAGTCTAGGGCAGGCAACAGAGTCGGGCTGTGAAGTGAAGATGCGTGAGAATTTTCTGACGTTACACGACAGAAGAGGAAATTTGATCGCAAAAGCAATTAGGTCGAGAAATATATTATACAAGGTGATAATGGATATAAGCGATGAGAAGTGTCTGCAGCTAGTTTCTCAGAGTAAAGCGACAAGGTGGCACGATCGGCTTGGACATATCGGGAGAAACTCTTTGAGAAGTTTGGTGAACAAGAAACTGGTGATTGGCATACCTGAACTTGAGGTTGGAGAAGAAATATGCTCATCGTGTCAATTAGGGAAGCAAACAAAAAAGACTTTCCCCTCTGCAACTATGTTTCGTGCCAAGAAGATTCTAGAACTTGTGCACGGTGATCTGTGTGGTCCGATATCACCGACAACTGCAGCAAGGAACAGATACATTTTTGTTCTAATTGATGATTACAGCCGTTACATGTGGTCAATACTTCTCAAAGAGAAAGGAGAAGCATTCGATAAATTCAGAAGATTCAAAGCTGTCGTTGAAAAGGAAACAGGGATGAACATCAAAACGCTTCGAACGGATAGGGGTGGTGAATTCACGTCACAGGAATTCAAAATCTTCTGCGATGAATCGGGAATTACGAGGCATCTTACTGCTCCATATTCTCCTCAACAAAATGGTGTCGTCGAGAGGAGAAACAGAACGCTTATGGAGATGGCAAGGAGCATCCTCAAGCACATGAATGTGCCAAATTACTTATGGGGGGAGGCAGTAAGACACGCTACGTACATCATCAATCGAGTTGGAACACGAGCATTAACATCCCAAACCCCATACGAAGCACTAAAAGGCAAGAAGCCTAATATAGAGCATTTGCGAGTGTTTGGCTGTATTGGCTATACCAAAACAGAGTCATCTCTTATCAAGAAACTTGACGATAGGTCTCGCCCACTGCTTCATCTTGGAACTGAACCTGGCTCCAAAGCCTATAGGTTGCTTGATCCATCAAATCGGAAAATTGTGGTGAGCAGGGACGTCGTGTTCGATGAAACAAAAGGATGGAGATGGACCAGTTTTAACAAAGATGAAGAAGAAAAACCAGGGGAGTTCAAAATTGATCAAGGAATCACTGGAACCAGTGGAGAGAAGGAGGATGATAGTAACGGGGTTACTACCGAAAATATCAGTAACAATGAGGTTACAAACGTTGAAAGCGATGAAGAGACAGAAGAAAACCAGAGTGATGATGAAACAGAGCAAGCTCAGCCGTCTCTAAGAAGATCATCGAGGCAAACCAGAAGGCCTCAATGGATGGATGATTATGTGATGATAGGTGAGCTCGAAGGGGAGAAGGTTTTACTTATGGTTAATGCGGAACCATGGGACTTTGAAGAAGCAAAGTCTGAGAAAGTATGGAGGGATGCTTGCGAGAGTGAGTTAGCATCCATAGAAAAGAACAAGACATGGGATCTTGTGGATCTTCCCATGGGAGTCAAACCAATCGGTTTGAAATGGGTCTTTAAGGTCAAGCGCAACTCAGATGGGAGTATAAACAAATATAAGGCGAGATTAGTAGCTAAGGGATATGTGCAGAGACACGGAGTTGACTTTGAGGAAGTTTTTGCACCAGTTGCGAGGATAGAAACGGTGAGGTTTCTTATAGCATTTGCGGCTTCTAATGGATGGGAAGTGCACCACTTAGATGTCAAAACCGCATTCCTTCATGGAGATTTAAAGGAGGTTGTCTATGTGTGTCAACCGGAGGGATATGTGGTAAAAGACAAAGAGAATAAAGTCTATAGGTTGAAAAAGGCTTTGTATGGCCTAAAGCAGGCACCTAGGGCCTGGAACGAGAAGTTGAACAAGGTGCTCAGGGATATGTGGTAAAAGACATTGAGTTGTTCTTTCTTCTCTTTGATGTCTAAGTCTTTCTCCCAGTTTTTGCACCTGTTTCATGTTTGAGCAAAGACAACATCAACCTTCCATAGTTCCATGTATGAAAGAAGCAATCTTTCGTTCCAAATTCGGTCTTTTTACTGAGTCTTTTTTTTTCTATTCAGATTTAAGAGTTGTTACCTTGCTTCAGCGGAGGAATTGAACACATATTGAAGCAAAAACTTGGCATCAGTCATGGACTGAACGTGGTTCCACCGAGTCTTAGCATGTAGGCTTTGCTCTCTTTCCTCTGCTACTGAGAGCTGAGAGGCCATGGCTGTGAGAGCATTTGAGGAAACATCTAACATGCTCTCAAGAGAAGCTATTCTCTCCAACCTTGTGTTTGGTGAAAAAAATCTGACGCATGGAGAATAATGATATATAAACAGATCAGAAAGTGAATTTTAACTCTCAAGTAACTAAGTTGTACGCAATGTCAATACTGAGTCATTTTATTCAATGTTGTACCTGAACTGTCCGTCTTTCTCTTGATGGGGACTTGAGGCGAAGTCCATCTCTCTTTTCAAGGAAGTTAACTCTTCAGCCAATGCAGCTCGTCTATATGCAACCAGAGTAGATTATTGATTAGAAACTTTTTTTTGTAAGTCTGCTAGCTAACAACATGAGTGAAACAGAGTTTAAAAGACCCACACTTGAATTTGCTTTTCATATTGGAAACGAACTTGATGTACTTTTGTCATAACCTTTATCTCGTGATCAAGCCATTTCTTAAGAGTTTTTTCGTTCACCTGCAAAGAGTACCAAAGGAAACAGTTGATACTTGTGCAGGATGGCGGGATCCATATCTAAATTAGGAGTTCTTATTACCTGTTTAGTTGGTGGTTGACCATTGGCAGTCACTGGAAAAGAAAGCAAATGATTATGAACAAAACGAAGAACCAAGAAAGTATGTTTCGGCTTTTATGTTACCTGACATATCACGTGGTGTAGACTTGCGGGCTTCTAACAGCTCTTTAAGTCTTTTGGTAGCCATTGCTGCTTCCTCTGTTTTTCTATGAAGAACCTGCAAGACATTAACATGCATTTTCTCTTGTGATATTTATTTAGGCACTCGAATTAGATAATTCTTTAAAGTGTTTCTTTCAAGTGCGGAAAGATAAATATTTCATAAGACTCGTACCATCTTTTGACGTTGATTGAGAGCTTCGAGTTTGAGTCTTTCATGCTCAGTCTTCCTTCCTTCTTTCTTGAGCTACCCAAATATAGATAAAAAGGGAGACTTGGGATTAGTTCAAGCTAAAAAATTTGAAGGAGAATAAAGAGATGATGAAGTGGATGGAGATAAAAGTACCTGCAACAATTCCTTCTCCTGAGAGGCTTTCCATTGCCGGAATTGTTCAGCTTCTTGTTTCATCTTCTGTTGTAGTTGAACCTGGATAACATAAAAAGAACAAAAGACAAAATGTAGATCTAGATTACGTGGTCTAGTATTATAGAAAAAAATCCAATAGCTAAAGTCGAACAAAACGCAACCTTCTGAGCCTTAATGTATCTGTTCCTTGCTGCAGTTGTCGGTGATATCGGACCACACAGATCACCGTGCACAAGTTCTAGAATCTTCTTGGCACGAAACATAGTTGCAGAGGGGAAAGTCTTTTTTGTTTGCTTCCCTAATTGACACGATGAGCATATTTCTTCTCCAACCTCAAGTTCAGGTATGCCAATCACCAGTTTCTTGTTCACCAAACTTCTCAAAGAGTTTCTCCCGATATGTCCAAGCCGATCGTGCCACCTTGTCGCTTTACTCTGAGAAACTAGCTGCAGACACTTCTCATCGCTTATATCCATTATCACCTTGTATAATATATTTCTCGACCTAATTGCTTTTGCGATCAAATTTCCTCTTCTGTCGTGTAACGTCAGAAAATTCTCACGCATCTTCACTTCACAGCCCGACTCTGTTGCCTGCCCTAGACTGATAATATTACTTTGCAATTTTGGCAGGTAGTAGACGTCATTAAGAATTCTCCTCTCTCCTCCCTTGGCTGTGAAAGTGATCGAACCCTTTCCCTTGATATCGATGCGTGAATTGTCTCCGAACCTCACCTTTCCTGTGATCGATTCGTTAATAGTACTGAAATACCTCAAGTTTCCAGTCATATGGTTGCTCGCACCATTATCCAAGTACCAGACATTATCTTCAGCTGAACATGTCTCAAAGTCTTGTGGTTTAACGTTCTTCTCATTAAGATAAACCATTCCATCTTCCATCCCTTCTTCATTAATGTAGACTAGCTCGTGCATCAGTAATTCGTCAGCTTCTTGAGAGTCTTGCTCATTCTCATGAGCTTCTTGTAATTTCAGCAGGCGTTCTGGACAATTTGAGGCGTAATGACCAAATTTATCACACCGGTAGCACTGAATCTTTGACGTATCCTTTCTGTCATTAGATCTTCCTCGACCTCTTCCCCTGCCACCGGTTCTTCCTCCTCTGCCCCTGTTACCAAAGTTTTGATAAGATTGCGTGGATTGTGAGTCTGCGTTGGCTAACATCAGCTTTCCTTGTTCCTCTTGAGTATCTTCTTCATCCGCTACTCGCTCTTCATAGGCTTTTATACGGCCTATGATATCTTCAAAAGAGGTTGTGTTTAGATCCAACACTTGCTCCAAAGAGGCCACTATATGAATGTACTTCCTTCGGGGAAGACTTGAAAGAAATTTCTTGACTACTTTGGATTCTTCAATCTCGACTCCCAACGCAACTGATTTGGAGATCATCTCGGATAGCTTGCCCACGAAGTCATCAATTTTCTCATTATCCTTCATCTTAAGCCTATCGAATTCTGCCATGAGTGTCTGTAATCGCGCCTCCTTGACACGATCTGCTCCAAGATGTCGAGCCTTGATCGCTTCCCAAACATCTTTCGCCGAGTCCAGTTCTCCAACCTGTAGTATGAGGGTTTCGGGTATTGATTGAAAGATCAAGGCCACCGCCAAATCGTTCTTATCACCAACCATCTCACCCGATTCTATTATCTCCCATACTTTGTGTACTTTCAGCAGTACCTTCATGCGCATCGACCAAACCGTGTAATTGCATGAATTCAGCATTGGACACTTTATAGAGGACGAGCCCCCACCTTCTTTCATCTTCGACATCGGTGACGATGCTTCTCCTGAGTCTTCTGCCTTGCTCTCTGTTTTTCCGTCTGGACCCATCGGTTGTTATGATCGTTTCTTGTGCTCTGATACCAATTAAAGAAATTGAAAGCTTTGTGAGATCAAGATTAAGAAATAACTCTTCTTATTGCTTAAGAAAACTTCTCAAAAACTTAAGCCTCAATCCCATAAGCTTTACCACAACTTGGCAACTCCTTATATAGGTTTGATAACTCCAAATCTTAATAGAAATATTACATATTTAGCTAACTCCTAAATATGTCCTTTTTCCTTTTCCTATTATAACTCAATAGAAAAGGATAACCACAACTTGTTCCTCAAGTATTTCTAGAAGATTTCAAACTTATCTCAACAAAGATAACGTGCACCACGGACATGTGGTTTTGAATATTCCGTCATTGTAGTGTAAGTTGAAATTTGTTTTTATTCGGCGCCAAAGCTAACGACTTTTATAGGTAGTTGATTTTAATTACTTTTCATATCTACATGAATACCAAAAAAATAGTTCAACTTTTAACTTCGGATCCACCACACTAAATGTTAATTTGCTTTAATTGTCCCTTACAGAAAGTTCAAGTTGTTGATTTTGTTCACTCTCATTGTCATTTGGGGAAGAATGTCTCTAACTTGGTACACAATTTATAGGATTCAGCCTTAGTTAAAACGAAATTCAGAAAAAAGTTCGATCATTAGTGTGCAACTCAGTCATAAGCATACACCAACGGACTTTTCTGTTGAAAAAAGTATTACAACTGTTCTTAGGCTGTTGACCCAACGGAAAAACTATAAATCTATTAACAAAAAAAAAAAAACTCGTATATATACAGATGTATTGTGAATCAACCTAAGTACAGCTTAAAGCAACTTGAAAAATCTTAGTGTCGATTCCACGAGTGATCGTCATCATCATCATGAGTCTTAGACATGAAGAGCATAGTGGTCTCATCGTTATGCTTTATCCAATCAGAGAGTTTCCATGGTTTCTGCCATTTCCATTTAAATTGAAGCAGCCATTGATGGTGACTTCTCTTCCACTTCCACAGCTTCCCACTCTGTCCCATTTTCTTCATTGCTTTCATCTTTCTCTTCTCTTCTAGCAAAGCCGCTGACTCTCTCACCGAGACGTTGACTATTCCAGGTGCAGCGTATTTGAGATGCTTTGCTGCTCGATGATATGAAGATGGAGACGATGCATCGCTAGCGTTATTATATCCATAGTGCTTTGATGAGCTTCTTGAAGTTACCTGCGAGGAGTGAAATGTTGTATATCTTTTTAAGGAGAAATTCTCACAAAAGGAGTTTCGGAAAATCAGATATTTGAAAAAGAAGGATCGGATCTAAAAACCGAGGATGATGATGATGAAGCTAGCGCAATGGACAATGTTTGCTCCCTTGTCTTTTTCTCTTTAAGGATCTCTCGATTCTGGACTTCGGATAGTTGTAATAAGCAAAGGAGGTCATTGAGTTGTTCTTTCTTCTCTTTGATGTCTAAGTCTTTCTCCCAGTTTTTGCACCTGTTTCATGTTTGAGCAAAGACAACATCAACCTTCCATAGTTCCATGTATGAAAGAAGCAATCTTTCGTTCCAAATTCGGTCTTTTTACTGAGTCTTTTTTTTTCTATTCAGATTTAAGAGTTGTTACCTTGCTTCAGCGGAGGAATTGAACACATATTGAAGCAAAAACTTGGCATCAGTCATGGACTGAACGTGGTTCCACCGAGTCTTAGCATGTAGGCTTTGCTCTCTTTCCTCTGCTACTGAGAGCTGAGAGGCCATGGCTGTGAGAGCATTTGAGGAAACATCTAACATGCTCTCAAGAGAAGCTATTCTCTCCAACCTTGTGTTTGGTGAAAAAAATCTGACGCATGGAGAATAATGATATATAAACAGATCAGAAAGTGAATTTTAACTCTCAAGTAACTAAGTTGTACGCAATGTCAATACTGAGTCATTTTATTCAATGTTGTACCTGAACTGTCCGTCTTTCTCTTGATGGGGACTTGAGGCGAAGTCCATCTCTCTTTTCAAGGAAGTTAACTCTTCAGCCAATGCAGCTCGTCTATATGCAACCAGAGTAGATTATTGATTAGAAACTTTTTTTTGTAAGTCTGCTAGCTAACAACATGAGTGAAACAGAGTTTAAAAGACCCACACTTGAATTTGCTTTTCATATTGGAAACGAACTTGATGTACTTTTGTCATAACCTTTATCTCGTGATCAAGCCATTTCTTAAGAGTTTTTTCGTTCACCTGCAAAGAGTACCAAAGGAAACAGTTGATACTTGTGCAGGATGGCGGGATCCATATCTAAATTAGGAGTTCTTATTACCTGTTTAGTTGGTGGTTGACCATTGGCAGTCACTGGAAAAGAAAGCAAATGATTATGAACAAAACGAAGAACCAAGAAAGTATGTTTCGGCTTTTATGTTACCTGACATATCACGTGGTGTAGACTTGCGGGCTTCTAACAGCTCTTTAAGTCTTTTGGTAGCCATTGCTGCTTCCTCTGTTTTTCTATGAAGAACCTGCAAGACATTAACATGCATTTTCTCTTGTGATATTTATTTAGGCACTCGAATTAGATAATTCTTTAAAGTGTTTCTTTCAAGTGCGGAAAGATAAATATTTCATAAGACTCGTACCATCTTTTGACGTTGATTGAGAGCTTCGAGTTTGAGTCTTTCATGCTCAGTCTTCCTTCCTTCTTTCTTGAGCTACCCAAATATAGATAAAAAGGGAGACTTGGGATTAGTTCAAGCTAAAAAATTTGAAGGAGAATAAAGAGATGATGAAGTGGATGGAGATAAAAGTACCTGCAACAATTCCTTCTCCTGAGAGGCTTTCCATTGCCGGAATTGTTCAGCTTCTTGTTTCATCTTCTGTTGTAGTTGAACCTGGATAACATAAAAAGAACAAAAGACAAAATGTAGATCTAGATTACGTGGTCTAGTATTATAGAAAAAAATCCAATAGCTAAAGTCGAACAAAACGCAACCTTCTGAGCCTTAATGCATTGTATTTCAGCTTGTAAACGCTTTGCTGCATCTTCACTCTTTTGCTTTTGTTTTAAGGCCTCAACTTGATTTTCTTGTTTCTTCTTGAGATTTGAAATCTGTGTCTCGAGTGCTTTTAATTTTTGTGCATGGGTATCTCTTGCAACTTGTGCTTGTCTATCAGAACTAGCAGCAAGCTCCTCTACTTCAGCCAACAATATATCTCTCTCAACCTGTAGACATAACTCATGATTCGGGTATTGAAACATAAGAAAGATGTATACCGAGAAAAACTAGAATGTTTTATTTCACCTGCACAGTTCTTTTCTCTTTCTCAAGTTCCATCATTTTCTTCTCAAAGTGTTGTCTGATAGTTTCAGTTCCCACCCCATATATTTGCATCTCGGACTGCAATATACAAAAACCATACGATTATCAAAATAATCCAACCTTTATCAATAGGTATAAAAAACTTCAATTGAGTAATGACTAGACCTCTTTCTCCTCCAGACGTTTACTTAGTTCACTTAATTCGTTTCCCATGTTATTCTGCCTAAGTGCATGTTCCCACTCTTTTGCTGCTCCATCAATATCTTCAGAAATTCCACCTTGATTTAGAAAAGATTGCAAGATGAAATGATGGTAGGGGAATGCGGAGTGCATTTCATGATATAAGTTTTCAGAGAAGCCAGTGTCCAAAACCTAATGTTGCTTCACTCATTTCATAATCTGAATCCATACTTTCGAATCCCCTTTTGAGACCATCATCTTTTGTAAGACTTACACCATCTTCCTGAGTATATGATCAAGTGAACAACTCTTGTTTTCAAAAGTGAAGATCATTGCCAGATATATCTATTCTTATTCCTTAATGTATACAGCAATTACCTGTGTATTAATATTGCAATAGTCAAGAGTAGCTCTCTTGCTGCGATACATGTGAAGTTCTCGAGAAAGCTCCTCATTGGCAGTCTCTAGCTTCATGATTTTCTCTCGCATAACCTTTAAAATGCAGCTATGTTATGACGAGTAGTTTTTAAACCTTTTGATGAATATCAGCAGAAGTTATATATACCTGCACTTCCTCTGATGCGGTTGCCTCACGAGCACACAGTGCAGCTTGTAGATATTGTAACTGTTGCCGCATCTTTTGCATCTCACTACATATTAAGTCTTTATTGGCCTGTGAAACAAAATAAAGGAGTCTGCCCTATTAGAGCTCCCAAGTGAGCATTCTATGCCCTTTTTTCCATATGTGAGACTTTTCAATTAGCTGATTGTGGTGCTTTTATTGTCTGCAGAATTGAAAGCTCATCTAAGTAGTTCCTCCGTACTTACAACAGGCTTATTCTGGATATTCCGAGCACGATTTGCATATTTGAGCGTGTTAAGAGTTTCTTCAGCATTGATGTCAGCAGGACTGATGCAAGCTACAAGAATAACACCAACAAAGAGAGAGTTAATGTGCGAAATTCTAAGAGATTTCCAGGGAATTAACTCATACAACTCAAAAGTTTACCTATCATGACTGTTTTACTATTTCCACCAAGAGAATCCTGCAATTTAAGGACATCATATATGACTGCATATTAGGTAATATTCATTCTTCAAGAACCCGTACAGATATGTACAGGCCAATAAAGATAATACGCTGCTACTGCTAGAAAGTTTATGCTAAAGTAAAAAATGAGTACCTCTACAAATGAGTGCAAAGATAGAAATGAACCTGCAATAACCGAGTAAGTTTACTATCACGGTATGGAACATGAGCACCTTCTTTTCGCTTTTTCTCGTCCCCAAGTGCACTGATAACATTACCAAGTGCAAGAAGTCCCCTATTAATGTGAATTCCTGTTTCAGAGAACAAAGAAGTACTCGGGATATGGAGATGCAAGTCAATGTTCTCAAAAAGATGTAAGATAGGAAGTCAGTTTTCCGAACCTTCTTTTAGTCGAACGCCACCTGAACCTGTCCGTTTAGCTCTTTCAGATCCAGCAAGATCTACAAGATGAAGCTTGGCACAACAATACTCCTCACCCATATCCTCATCCATGGTGTCTGTAACCGCTGAGATCGAAGAGATTTTGCGCATCTGTTCTAAGGTGATCGTGAAGATGGCATGTGACCGGCTTTTGATATCACATATAACAAAGTCATGCTGGTACATTAGAATGCATTCTCAAGAAATTATCTCATCATTATATAAGCAGGAAAAAATAATGGAAGTAACTCTTTATGATGCCTCTATTTACCATTTCTAATGTTCCCATGAATGCTCGTTTTTCCTTAATGTTCAATACATCTACGTTCTAATACTGGCTAAGCATCATTAACAGTAAAAGTAAAGCACTTCTGGCTCAAGACTGGGTATAGAGACTCTCACCTAGATTGATTATTCATATTTGTGCTCCCAGTTGCCCTGGTTAGAGATCCTTGCTCTAGACACGAAGCCATTTCTTCTTTACTAGCTATGGGAACTTCAGTTGCACCGGATAGTGTAATTACTCCGTTTGGCGACTCTCGAATCTGTACAGGCGACTTACTAAGAACAACTTTTCCAGGGGTTCCATTGGCTAGTCTGTTAAAAGGCACACTATCCAGCAAATCTAGAACTTCTTCTTTTAGAATCTACAGATGAAGTTTGACAAGACAGACTGAGTTCTACGCTTATTCAAGGATAACTAGTCCATTGTGAAGGGAAAATTTTTGACAGATATCAATGAGCAAACAAACAGATGATACCTCGATGAAAGAGACATGTAACTGAAACCCCATTTGGTGCTTTACTGAATCAATTTTGTCGAACAGAGCACTCATAACTTTAGGAATCAACCCATTGCTTGTACCATCTTTAGAAGCAGCCCCCATGGTGTATGTTTTTCCAGATCCTGTCTGCATCATTTGTGTAACTCAAATGTAAAAAAAAAAAAAAAAAAAAAAAAGAAGCTAAAATACCAATTTTGGAAACTATTTGTATACCTGACCATAAGCCAGCACAGTAGCATTGTAACCATGGAACAAACCATCAACAAGAGGAGCAACACATTCTTCAAACATCAATGAAGATGGTGAACCATTACTTCCATAAACGTGATCAAACGTGAAGGAATGTGTTCCCATTTGCACCTGCAGAGTACCATCAAGAAACAGAACATTTTCAAACAAGAACCTTCAACATCAGATACAGTACAACACACTCCAGTACCAATATTCATTGACTTATCAGTAACAACACAGACTTCACTTGCATTTTATTATTTATATGGTTAAAAAAAAAAAAATGTTGACACTGTTTTATAAGAAGAAAAAAAAAGGAGAGAATTAAATGATTGTGTCAGAGACGGATCCGGATCCAGGAAAAACGTGAAACGACGACGGAATTTAACACCGTCGGGGAAAATAAAAAGCAGTAAACGGCGAAGCGGAGACGAAACTGACTTCCGTTAATTCTAACATTCACGACCGAGAAACTTACCTGAGGCGTTACCGGAGAAACGGAAACGCATTCCCTGCAACCCTGAGAAATCTCGTCTCCGATCAAAGGACGAACGTTAACCGCCACTTTCACGGAACAACTTTCCGGCGACGATAAGGAAGAATGTAATTCCATCGAGAAAATCTCCTAATTAAGAATTTGAGTGTGGAATATGAATCTGATAAAGAATAGAATGATGAAAATCAGAGTCTCAATTTCTTCTTCTTCTTCTTCGCAATGAAAACGAGACCGAGTCGCTTCCTCGGGAGAAGGAGAAACGGAGAAGAAAAAGTGAGGAAGAAGCTACTCCACTGCTCTCTCTCTCTCTCTCTGGTTTGGGTATACGATGTATCTTTATATTTCCTTTTTTACCCATATCGAATCACGGTTTTACCTCTTTACCCTCCACGTAAGCTTCTTCTTCTCCACTTTCTAATAAATAAAAATCCACTGGTCCGTGTGTATTGAAGCAAAAATCAGAGATTTTATTATCTTCAGATCTGACTACACTCTTTTTATCATATTAAAATGGGGAAAATCGCATTTTTAACCTCGAAGGATCAAAAAGGTAGTACTTTAAACCTTAAGGGATTTTCACTAGCATAATAAACCTTCAATCTAATTTTACTAACACATTAAACCTTGAAATTTGAAATTTTTTTTGCGCCGCCAGAAAACTTGACGGAACAGTAATGATCCATGATAGAATAGTTAACTCCGGTAACTTATTTTAAAACGTGAATAAATTTAATTATTTTTTAATCAATCTCTAAATTTATGAATTCAATTTTTTAATTACTGTTCCGTCAAGTTTTCTGGTAGTGCAAAAAAAATTTCAAGTTTCAAGGTTTAATGTGTTAATAAAATTAGATTGAAGGTTTATTATGCTAGTGAAAATCCCTTGAGGTTTAAAGTGCTACCTTTTTGATCCCTCAAGGTTAAAAATGCGATTTTCCCTATTAAAATGTTGTTGTTGTGTGTTCCACACAAAACTGAAAAAAGAAACAATCACTGTTTTCGGAGAAATTAAATTAATTAATTATCTATGGTTGGCTCGCGTATATAAGACAAATGGGTGTGTAAAAGTCGATGGTTCCAAAGCTGACCACTTAATACCAAAAAATATATTGTAGTTTCCATCGTCTGGTTAGCCAAAAGACAAAAATTATTAAATAATGAAGAGTCAAAGACATTCGCTTCTGGTCCTTCTTCTGCGCGGGAAAATCCCAACAGTAAATGAATTAAATTAACAGAAAAAAAAACTTTTATACAGGGATTATTTTCGCAATGTGTGGGGACCACAGTACGCTCCCATTGGGCCTTTATTGAGCCCTACCTCACATGTCTCTCTGCAGGGCTCATTAGTTTGTTACTCTCTATACTACTGTATCAGTTTTTATCCACTTTTATTTTGTTTCACGAATTAAAAATGTACTATTGGTTTCGAAAATCCAATATAATGCCTCCCATATATGATTAATGGTAGGTATTAGATAAAAGTATAAAGTTAACTTCTATCGCCCTTTTCTGGTTGAAGTTATGATTAATCATGATAAGCTTTCAAACATGTCTATTTTTCACGTCCCCTCCACTAAATTTACCTTTATAGTTTACCCACTTATAATTAGCCAAAAATATCCACCTTTTAGATGGAAATTCTTTGATTTTGGTAAAATGAATGGAAGTTCCTTGAGATTTAAGATAAAACTTGATGCCATGGGCTGTTGTCGTTCTTTAGTGGAATAGTTTCTATATTTGTCTCAAAATTTTAATTATTTTGCATTACATCGTTCGATGCTAAAATTAAATTTACTAGCACCAAACTTTGATACAGCTTCAAATGTTGGTTTTCGTTCGATGCTTATGTTTCAAGTCTTGGGTTTATCTAACGATCGAATTAAAGAATGCTGGTACATTTTTTAATGCATTTGCTTTTATGTACCAAATTTTTATTACTACTTATTAGTTGTTAGACTAATCTATAATGTTTCTTATATATTTTTGTTTTCTCGCTATGAAGCCCAGCATGATTATGACTCTACGAAATTTTTAATCAATTAGATAAAAACAAATACATTTTCTTATACAAACTACGTAAGCTGTCTACCTTATCCAATTAGTTTTCCAAATTAAATAATACTATAAAATGGCGATTATTGAGTTAAAATTTGATTCCTTAAGTGGTAGTCAAAGTTTTACTTTTGCGTCATATCGAGAGATTAATTGATCAGCTTCACAATCTCCATGTTCTCGTTTTGATATGCATGGTAGTACGATTAAACTGATGCACAAGAGAGCTAAATTTTGACTGTATACTCACCATGTGCCGTATAGATTCGGCAGTGTTCATGCATGAATTATAGTCACTAGATTTCTAGATGTTGTTGTATCAGGTAGATATTGGGTATTTTGTTTTTTCGTATTGCCTGAAAGTTTTGATGTGCTAACAGCTGGACTTCATTCTACTCTTGATTTGAGTGTTGCTCATTTACAGATAAGCAAAGAAAAGGTTAAGGTTAGAACAAAAGATCGGCCAACATCTTAGTGATATATCATGGTTTTTATGGTTTTTAACCATGGTATAAGTCCTATTTATAGAGTCTTTTTAATGTCTTTCGAGTCTTTTGGAGTCTTTTTAGGTCATAGGTACGTTTGGAGCTTAACTGAAGACTTTGGAGCACTTTGGAGCTAAACAAGGATCAAATTCGTCAAGTATGGATTTTGTGCTTTAGTGACGCTCGACACCATGGAGAGTGACGCTCGACACTTGTTAGAGAAATAAGAAAAAAAACGATTTTGTTTCCTATTTAAAGAAGGAGTTGGGCCTAAACGTTTCCAAGGAAGCCCAAAACGTGTCTTAGAGATATATATAGGGTTTTTATTCCATTTTTACGAAAACCTTAGATTTTCTGAGAGAGAACTTTTGTTTTTGAGAGCTTTTGGGGAGACAAGTCTGAAACTCTGTTCCGGAGAGAGAAGATTTCGAACCCCTGTTTATTAATCTATTTACTGCTTTCTGCAATCTATTCATTCATGTTTATTGCTTCAATCTCCATGTCTGAGTAGTTTGTTTGTTAGGTTTAGGGTTCTCATAAAGGTTTTCTCTGGATGTTTGATTGATTGATTTATTTAGGGTTCATAATCTATTTAGTTCTTCACCATAGGTTGTTCTTAAAGCTAATTCTGGACTGGCCACCTAGAACTTAGATCTTAGGTTAATTGATTGACACGGAAGTGTAATTGAATAACTGGAAAGAACCTAGGGTGAGCAAAGTAGCTATTCGCAAAGGAATTTGGTTTGGCTGCTTTGTGAACATATCGAACTTGTGCATTAAAGCTGGTTTAAATCTGTAGGATTTGCAAAGGAATTTGGAATTCTAGGATTTTAACTTAGATAATTCTCACAACGGAAGTTGGTTAATTATAATTTTGTGATTCGAGTTCAAGAACCGTGCTTAAACCTGAACCCTGATTAATCGATTGTTCAGCATTCATTGATCTCCTGAGAAACGCCTTAAGCCTAATCTCCATCCATCTGAATCTTACAAGCCGTTTTTATTGCTGCTTAGTCTAATTCTTTTGCATTGCTATTTATTTACAATATTTCTGCTTAGCGTAATTCGATCTCTATAAGGTTTATTGAGTGATCTCTTGTCTCTGTGGTTCGACCCCTACATACTACAACTGCACATCTATGCTCTTGCAGAGTAGCTTAGGGATTAAACTTTGAGCAGATCAAGTTTTGGCGCCGTTTCCGGGGACTTGATTTCGCCATTAAACCTAGTTTTTGAGTTTCGACTAAGTTTTTCGACCTAGTGTCGAGCGACACCATGTCGCGCGACACCCTTTTTTTTATAACCTAGTTTACTTATTTCGTTTTCTCTCTTTGTTTTTGGTGTTTCAGGTTTATGCATACTCGTGGAACCAGAAGCAACAAGGACATCCCGCTAGTGAATTTGAGCAACGAAGAGCTAGCTGAGTTAGAGCGAACGAACAGGAAAGCAAGAGATCCGGCAATGATGGAAAACGCCAATGGACTTGTTCGCGATGATGATGGAATCTGGAGAGACCAAGAGGGTCATGTGTGCAATGCGAGAGGCCAAAGGCTTGATGGAGATGGCAACATCATTCCACCAGCACCTTTACCAGTGGATGTTGTTAACCAGAATCCACCACCTGCCCGCGTGGGAATGCTGTGATCGTTCCAAATCAGAGGAACGCTCCAGAAGATCGGAATGTGAGGGAACCTGCACCTGTAGCTGGTCGTGGACGAAAACTTGGGGACTACAACAGGCCTGAGCAGTTCTATGCAAATCGTTCTGCGATTCGCGCCCCTGCATTTCAAAGAAACGATTTTGAGCTGAAACCTGTGTACTACACTCTTGTGGGTCAGCATCCTTTCCATGGCCACTCTCATGAGCACCCTATGGATCACATCGAGAGGTTTGAGGACTTAGTCACCAGCATCAAATACAATGGAGTGTCCAATGATTTCCTCCTCTGCAAGCTGTTTCCTTACTCTCTTGCTGGAGAAGCAGCTAACTGGTTGAAGCAGTTGGAGCCAGGATCACTCACTACTTGGGAAGAGACCAGGAATGCTTTCCTGCACAACTTTTTCAATGATGCTAGATCTGAGGAGTTGAGGACAAAAATTTCGACATTCTCTCAAGAACCAACTGAGGCGTTCAAGGCTTCTTGGGTGCGATTCAAATCGTACCAGCGAGACTGCCCCCATCATGGCTTCAGCGATGTGCAGCTGTTAGGGATCTTTTTCAGAGGTATCGACTGGAGGTATCAGATGGCACTTGACGCAGCAAGCAATGGTAACTTCAACACCAGATACCCAGACGAAGCTGTTGAGCTCATCGAAAACTTGGCATCTAGCAATAGTACCAAGAATGCAGACTATCAGCGAAGGAAACAGGCTGGGAACATGGATGGATCGCAAATTGCTGAGGTGAAGGCTAAGCTTGACTCTGTGCATAGTCTTCTTGTGGGTAAGAAATCTGTCAGATACCCTGCAGGAGTTCAGAATTTTGGACCAGATGAAGCTTTTGAGGAAGAGGATGTTAACTTCATCAATGGAGCTGGATTTCAGGATCAGAGATTTGGTTCTGGGCAAGGGAACACGAATTACAATGGAAATAATCAGAGGAGTACCTTCACAGGTAATCAGAACTCTTCTGGTTACAGCTCCAAACCTCAGTACCAGACATCCTACTCCAACAACAGGTTTTCAAGGAACTATGGTTCTCCTCCTACTCAAACTCTAGATAATGAGGTGAAGTCTATGTTGGAACAGATCTTG